ATACGTGTTTTATATCGACATAAGTCATCGTATCATCATATCATCGAAAGTAAACAAGTCATTCGGATTAGTTTACTTCCTAAAATAATGAATTTAAAATATTGCATCCCAATACATGATAATGAATGCCTTGTCTAAAAAATTCGTAGATTGTTCATTAACAATACCTAGTTACAACGCCAGTTTATTTAATCACCTCAGCGTACCTACACGTGATTGCAAATGACAAGTCGTTGACACGGAACAATATCTAAATGTTTTTTGTTAAACCTCTAAACTTCTTAAGCCACAAAGGTAATGTTACGTTACGGAATTGATCAGATAAAAATATTAATTTCGTAAGAAAGCGTGTTTTCAAGGGCGGCACATTTTCTCTAGACCTGCCTACCTACAAAAAGATTTTATGTGGTTGCTATAAAGTAAAACACATCGTGCACCGCGGACGTGTTTTGAAATTCAAACTTTGTCGTGACTACAAACTTTTGGGTCGATACTAACCTGGCACACTTCGCTTTGTTTACATGACGTAATGTTTAAAATCGTTACATAAAATGTAATAAATGCTACGAAGATTTATAAATCAATTTTCAGTACATAGATACATAAAAATGATTAAGATTTAAAATTACAGTTTTATTAATATCGATCGCGACAGACATGATTAGCTTATGAATTGCTTTCGGTATGACATGTCTGGCGGCGGTCAGCCGGTCACATGCAGTTCAGCCCACGAGCACGGCAGACCGCAAGCCCTGACATCATTACATGCATTACGTGAAGTTATCCCAACGCCCGCCACAAATTCCTCGCTCACGCACTCATCTCGCTTAATCTACGTCAATTTCAATACGCCTCAAATGACAATTAGGCTGAAATAATTAATTACATTTGCATAGCTACAGTGCTGCCACGCAGGTACAACGTGACTCCAATTTGCTTACAAAAGATTTTTTGTTTGTCTATAAAGCCTTGATACAATAAAATTAGCTCTGCATCGCGAATTTCCCATTATGTCGTTATGTAATTCTAATCTTCCTCAAGATCAAAAAACAATAATCAGAGGAGTCTTGTTTGTTCCTAATATCGAAGCATTTGGAAATTTAGAGTCTGTAAAGTCATTATGCAACTTTACCCACAAACTGTTTAAGATAGACCTATGATCTGGTACAAGTAACATCTAATAACTGATACAAGAACAGGATTATTTTCGGAATATAATAATAAGCTCAGTGTTCTGCTGTAATTAGTGCCCAACTGCCAATGTTGAACGGACCTAAACGGCTAAACCTGCAACTTGGAACATTTATCGCCGCTATTTACATAAAGTTGAACTCAGATAAGGACTAAAAATAATATCTTAATTCTAATGCATAGAGAAACAAAGACGCATTATTATTAAAATAAAGACACTCTATTAAAATGGACACAAATCGTTTAGTTGGCAACATAAATGGCACATAAACTACTAAAATTTAAATATATTAACATAAAAGAATTAGTTGCGTTTAATTGTTTATAATAACGAAAATAATATTACCGTTTCATTCTCAATCCAACAGAACGACACTTAAATGCCTCTACAAGTTACACTATCTGCGAATTTTCATCCGATAATCAGCAACTTTACTTATGTACCTAATAATCTTTCGGGCCCTAATCGATAGCAATGAATGGAAACTCGATCGCATATAATGACATTCTTCGTCCATGCTGTCACTACTTCTTGTTAAACTTGGTCCGTTGCATTGCCATAATTTACAATGACCTTTACTCACACCGACCACTGTAATAAAGTGACAAGTTGAAATGCATGTAATGTGTGGGCTTAAGGCTCACTGTGAATATATTATTACATCTTAAACAATGAAGTTTAAAACAAAGTAAACTTTTCTGCATGTTGCGACTTTTACGACATCATTTAGGAACAATTTTTTAAACAAATGATTTCTTTAATCTACAAGTCCATTTAAGAATCTACAACTTGCCTCATTTTGAAACATGTTCCTTAGCGATTGTTGTACCAATCGGTTGTATACCTGGCTGGAGACAACACTGCCAGTTACCACGGAGACAGCTTGAGCCAGACTCAGGGCCCGCCCACTGGGCCAAGCCTTCGCACGACTCTGCTCAGACACATTCAAATTGTCGCATTGTTTGTTTACGTTCAAACTTTATCATTCATATATTCCTATTGACAATAGGTTTTATATTTTGCTAACGGAATATTCAATAAACTCGTGCTGCGATAATTTATCCATAATCGTTCTTTGTGTATCACACGTACATTTGAAAACAGATATCATAAAACAACGAAACCGACATCACACAGATAATATGACGTTTTGTATCTTTGAAGCGAATCAACAATAACAGACATTATGACCAAAGACGAATGGCAGTCAATCTGAGACAATCTCTGCTCTAAATGTCGGTCAATGCTTTGCATTCTGTACTTATGATTGTGCCGGTCATAAAGTCAAGTAAACGTTGCGCAGGCCACCGACACCTGACCAGAACGGGGGCGACTTATCATCGACAACTCGAATTATATAAATATTGTATCAACTTGTCCAAGGTATAATGAGAGGGCAGGGAACAAGCACCGCGGCTTGCTATTAGATTTGGTGTACAGCGGTAATAACTTTGAATATTATCTCGTTAATTAAGGATAGTAGTAGCTCGGGCACTGCGCACCACTATAACTCCAGATCAGGTAGACTCGCGCACAAAGCTAGATAACGATCTTTGTAAACGAAACTGGCTGTTCCACTACAATACCAATTGTGCTCACGGCAAGGTATGCCATAACTTACGACTTATCACATAACTCTCTCTCGTCCACAGATCGTTGTTGCTTGCTTGGCGTTGGCGTGTGGCGCGCATGCGTCCGGATGGACTGGTCCTCCCGCCAACATTGCTCTGTCGCAAGACGGACGCAACATCCTCGACACCCCCGAAGTAGCGCAAGCGCGTGCTGCCCACCTCGCCGCGCTGTCGCAGGCTAACCAGAATAACCCCAACCCTCAGGACGATGGCTCCTACGACCCTCGCTGGGACAACGAAGAGTACTGGCAAGGAGCTGAACAGAACAAGTGGAACGCTGCCCCCGCTGGACAATGGAACGGTGCTCAAGCTCACGGACAGTGGAACGCTGCCCCCGCTCACAACCAGTGGAACGCTGCTCCCGCTGCCCCCGCCTGGAACGCCGCTGGCCCCGCGCCCGCTCCCGTCGCTGAAACCCCTGAAGTAGCCCAGGCTCGTGCTGCCCACCTCGCCGCCCTCAGCGCTGCCAAGGCTGTTCCCGCTCAGCCCCAATGGAACGCTCCCGCCCACAACCAGTGGAACGCTGCCCCCGCTCACAACCAGTGGAACGCTCCCTCCCAGTGGAACGGCGCTCCCTCATGGCAGTCCGGCCAGGCCCAACACCAGCCCGCTAACATCAGGCTAGCCAACGATGGCTCCGGCATCCTGGACACCCCTGAGGTCGCCGCCGCCCGCGCTGCCCACTTAGCAGCCCACGCGCAGGTGGCGCACGCCGCGCCCGCGCACCCCCAGCAGCACTGGTGAACTGATTGATCCCTTCCTCTGGATTCCTGGACTATGAGCTGGCTCGTGACGCGTGCCCAGTGACCGCGTGTCGTGTGCTAGTTTTCTGTTGAGGTGTCTCTCTTGTTTTTCCTCCGATCTCTTCTTCTTTTAGGAATTATACAAAGTGCAAGTGCGTCAGCCTATTCTTTCCTGTGGCTTTTTTGTTACTTTTATAAGAAATTTCTATTGAACGAACTTTTTGTACATAATAAATAATTTGTATGTATGCGTTAATAACGAATTATATAGAACGGAATATACTATGGAGTTTAATTCATTATAATCGATAACCGTTGTACCTAAGTAACATTCGCCGACAAGGCTAGCGGGTAACATAGCGATCTAATAAATGACGATAATAACCCGCAATGAAGAATTGCAAACAACGACAAGTGACGTTTACATCAAACAAGTTGTGATCACATTCACATATCGAGACATACAGTTAATGTATGGTCTGAATGTGGCATCTGAAATTTATATTTCAGATGCCACATTCGCACAGACCAGCGATTATTCGCTTGGTACTATACATTAACAACACGGAGATGATAAAGCTGAATAGATAACTTCGGAAGCCAATCAACCTAAATTAGTAACACTTTAATTTGATTGAATGGGTAACTTTCAACAAATTGTTAGCGACATGCATGATTCTAGAGGTCGAACGTTTTCGTTCACAACAACACTACCACCAGCAACTACATTTTATGGCCAACTCATGCATGTAGTCTGGTTATTAAATGGAAAAATGAAACTAAAGTTAGTAGTCTCGTAACTATAACGTGACACGCTATGACGAAACCACATAGATCTCTAAATAGATAATGCAACGGTTGAAGTAATTCTCTATGTTTAAATTATAAAAACGCAATAGTAATTAACGGAGCAAAACAAACAATTAATAATGTCAAACTAACGACTTCTAGCAACATCATTTATTTAAAACATTAACATAATGAAAAACAAAAAGCTATTTTTGATCCAACATTGTAAAAAACGAGCCAAAGTAATTTCAATTTAATCAAACAAAAACTAGCTTATCTATAATTTACGATATCAAAGTTCTCGATACAAATCTAATTTAAAATAAATAACAGAGTAGAGTAGCGAAGTTTAGTTTGGTATGTAACGATAAAGGTAAGACTGATAATTACGAACGTGAGACAGGACGACAAATAACTGGAAAATGTATAATTTTGCCATCGAAAGCTAGCGATGGAGGCGGTGCAAGGTCGATCTATCAAATGATAGACGCAATCAAACGATTAGACCGCAAACATTTGCTTTGGAAAATTAGGTTATAAGCACCAATTGGATGTCAACCGGAGCAGTTTCATTGTCTTTCCACGTGCCGCCGTGGTAAATTCGTGGTAGCAGCAGAGCTGGTGCTGGTGATGGCTCTGTAGACAATGCTGGTCTATCCTAGCAGGGAATTCGGAATGCGTCCTCGGAAATCATCAAAGGACATAATATTTAGAAAGGTAACCATCTTAAAACATTGCAATATAGCACCTATAATGCAATGTTTTTATTTTCAATTATTATTGTTCAACTGATAAAATCTCTGAAAGAGGAAGTTACATAATGGCATATCGTAATAAATATCTACAATTCATCTGGCAGCAAAACTATTGGGCTCAAGGTAAAGAACCAACGCCTTGGTATGTGTGGGATTCAAAATTACCGGCAAACAGGAGCAAGAGCGAAGTGAGTCACCATTAAAACCTATACCTAACATATCCTAACATAATATATTATTATGTATACTTAAATTTTTTACTAATCAAATTATTAGGAAAGACCAACAACTCTAAGAACTGCACAAAGATTGGAGGATGGACCCAGCAGTTTTAGCAACGACTTACGAGATTATCTGATGACGTCCACGTTACATGGACTTCGATATATTGGAGAACGAAAACTGACTTGGTTTGAGAGGTGCAACATAGTAATTTAATTTATTAATACCTCTCGTAGAGAGTAATTATATTCCTTGATTACTAATCAAGGGTACTAACCCTCAGATATTTTGCGTTCGCGTCCCTTTTTATCTTCTTGTTTCCCTGTTAGTAGGTTAATCGTAATATCATTTTCATTTTATTAAATTACCTATTGTTAAAAAATAAAATGAATTCCTAATATTTTCAGATTTTTCTGGTTAACAGCATTTGGCTGTTCTTTAGTAAGTGCAGGATTTTTCATATTAAACATATACGCAAAGTGGCGCTCGTCCCCGATGATAGTCAGCATTAACCCGGAGAACATGCCTCTCAGCAACCTGCCGTTCCCCGCGCTCACTGTCTGTAACGTCAACCAAGCGAAGAAGACCGTAGCTGAAAGATATTGGGCGTATGGGTAACTGTTTCTCTAGGCAGCACCTCCATGCTTGCTATAGAATTACTTTTTACGTCTCATTATTGTAGTGTTTTACGAGTCCCCCAAAAATGAAATCAAAAATATTATAATTTGGTCTTTGTATACTTTTAGTGTTTAGTTATCTTCAGTACCTATGCCGTAAATTAGAACCTACCTATGTTTTATAGTGTCTTGAGCACAATGTGGTTGAATGTGTCTCCTTAACCACGTAAAACTTAACAATTATTTGAATAATTGGCTTATTTGCTATTTAGTTCACTCATCCATAACACTGTTGCTTTGTTAACATAATCATTACAAATTATAACATTGCTTCAGTGAGAAATCAAGCGTACTATAGTGTTCAGAACAAAATTGTTTCATTGTCCTCTGTTTCATTCAAAAATTAAGTAGATTTAAATTAGTAAGTACATGTTAAAGACCTCATGTCCTTAATACATTACAGGAATCCGGTTGACAAGAAGCTGCTTCAGAGTTTGTGTACCACAAAAGACGATTCTGAAATATTCGAGGATGGAATAGCGGGCAGGGCTGACTGGGATCATACCAGATCGTTTCTAATTAATGTTGGTTTAATAATAAATATTGCCCACAAATTTGTGGCAAAAACTCCACACATCATCAGATTTTACACAGCTAACACCAAAATATATGTACCATCCATTTTTCGCCAGTACCATTTATGTAAATGTCCTATCATTGGTGACTATCCCTCTATAAAGCACCCTATAAAATGCACCTCCTATTCTATAATCTTACTTAGCTGACTTATCGTTTAGTAGGTTTGTCCTGTTCGCTCCAGGTGACACAACCGTGCAGTGAAATGCTGGCACAGTGTATCTGGGACTCCTCAGTTATGAACTGCGAGGACTTGTTCAACGCTCAGCTAACAGACGAGGGACTCTGCTGCACCTTCAACGTGGTACACAGAAATAAAATGTTCAGGAACCCGTAAGCACATTCAATTCCTATTCAAATTTTATAATTTCCAGAGTATTTCCAAATGGTGTCCCAAAAAATAAATATTTTCTTGTTCACAGTCGTTCTCTCAATGACTTGAACATAACATTTCCATCACCAGCCGTAGACTGGACACCAGAGGATGGATACCCTGCTGATGCTCCTCCTGATGGCTTTCCATGGAGACCTAAAGGCAAAAACATCACATTATTTTAACATACTATTAATGCTATTCTTAAGCTTACAAACTTGCTTTTTCGCTTTAAGGTATTGGCACCCATCACGGTCTCTCCCTGGTATTGGACGCTAATCTTGCGGAATACTATTGCGCTTCTACGAAAAGTGCTGGCTTCAAGGTTTGATCTTTTATATTGAATACACAGATCATCTCATGGATGATTTAAATTCTAACGTTGTCCATGTTTTTTAGATTCTGCTACATAATCCCACGGAAACACCTAAGATAAGAAATCTCGGAGCTATATACGGTCCGGGCAGAGAAGCAAGAATCGCGATTTGGCCAAGGATATCAGATGCACAACCGTCTCTTCGATCTATTGATATTAAGAAAAGGCTTTGTTTGTTCTCTAATGAAAAAGAATTGGTATTTTTCAGGTAGGCATTCCAGAGTAAGTGACCTTACTTACCGGTAGGTGAAGTCATCATGACTTTGATATTTTATGTATACGTGCATCTAAATTACGACTGCTGTTTGCAGTAGGTAGGTACTTACTGTAATAATAGGTCGTAACAAGTTAGATTTAGACTTCAGATCATAACTGTGGTTTGTTAGTCATTTAACCATAACATTCCTTCCTTATTGTATAACTTCACATGATGTAACAGTTATTTAAAAATGCATGCATAGGCACAGATTTATATCTACTTATTACGACAAATTGTTCAATATTTCCACAGAACTTACACTTTGAAGAACTGCGAAATGGAGTGTGAAGCGCAAGCTATGCTGGACGTATGCAAATGTGTCTACTATTATATGCCCAGTAAGTTTATATATTTTGCTGCCAGATGAATTGTAGATATTCTGTAGATACCCAGCTAAAATATCTGGCAAAATATTCGTAGGTATGGACTTACAAGTGCGTTGCCGGCCTTTGGCGATGAGGGATAGGGGAATTATTGGGCCCCCGGTAACCTTATTCACACTTCATGTTAAACTTTTTCAGAAAACAAATCCACTCGTATTTGCGGGAAGGCAGATGCGAAATGTTATACGAACATGAGCCTGATCATGCCTGAAGGTTGGTCTTCTTAAATAATGTCGCTGATCAAGGCATTACATAGAGGTTTCTGTCTTTCTGAGTTTATTTGTAAGTAATTATATTTTTTATTGAATTCAGGTCGCGACATCACATGCATGGAGTGTCTGCCAGCATGCACGGAGATCGCCTACATGGAGAAGCTGAGTGACGCGCCGCTCAAAGAGATGCTCGTGGCACAACTTGCCAGGACCCTCGGCAACAGAACTCCTGAATATTTCACGTAAGTTTTTACTTACTTAGCTTTTGTATTGGTAGCTACGTACCTGGTCCCTAATCATATTACTAGTCTATTTATTATTTTCAGGGAAAACATGCTGGTTGTACACTTTTATTTTGAAGAAAACACGTTCATGAGATTTACAAAAGGAGAAATATTTGGACTCACTGAATTCTTATGTAAGTCTGCCAAAGGCTTTTTCACAACCTTTTTCACTTGTAAGTACCTACCTAGCTGAAGGACTGGGTGACCTACCTACGAAACATTTTTTTTTCTATTCACAATCATCTAAAGGCTTTAATCAGATAATAATATGATGTCTTTCTTTTATGGTTATTGGAGAGTACCTACACATCCTGTGATGTGATCTCGTTTTTTTAACCGACTTCTAAAAAGGAGAAGGTTATACGTTCGGCGAGTATGTTGCTTTTTTTTATTATGTAGTATATGTTTTTTTTTAATGTATATTTTTTTGTTTTTTTTTTATATTGATGCTTTTCAGCCGGAACAGGCAGTTGTTTGTATTCATAAGTTCAGCATCTAAACAAATGCTGTGTCGTTCAAGGAGTTTTTATAGGCCACAGAAACCTTTCTATTTCTTCCTTTACTGTTGGGATTTACAAGTAATCATGCACTTCAGTGTTCCGTGGTGCCCTAACAGGGTGATGTACTGTACTAGTAGTATAATACCACTATGTATATACATTTTGCAATAAATAAATAAACCATGGCGCATTATTCTTGGAGAATTTCTACATTTGGGTGACTTGCTGCACCCCAAAGTTGTATGCTGTACCTAAACATAGGTAGTTTTTTATTTCCTTTGAAAGTTTGGGCAAATGTTCGCCAGACCTACTGCAGATCAAGGGTAAATTGACCAAAGGCTCCCCAAGTTGAATACGATTTAAATGGTAAATTAGGTATTATAAGTATAGTTAAGTTTTATTTGTTCCAGCCAACACGGGCGGCTTGCTGGGGCTGTGCATGGGGTTCAGCATGATGAGCGCAGTGGAGCTGCTGTACTACCTCACCCTGCGCGCGCTCTGCATGATGCGCCGCCGCCCGCATACACAACCATTCGTTAAATAAACACTATTATCCAGTACAGACATTTTTTTATCAGAAGTATTCTTAAGAGTACAATCCACTTGTCACCACCACCTCTCTTCTAATGGGTATAAGAACTGATGAATAAAAACTGATGAAATGATGGCTTATAAGAACCGATTTTCAGCAGATTAACTGACCTCAATCCATTTTTTATTGGTTAAAGATAGAATGTACTGTGACTAGACGGCCTGGTGATAATGATGACGGGGATTTAATTAAGAAATACATTTGCTATAACTAAAAAACTTTTATTACACTTATCTAAAAGTTATACAATAACTCAGTCTGTTCAAACTTTCAAAGACATTCCCCATCAATTTGTTTCTTCTAATTAGTGATGCCATGGTGCCAACTGCTAATTCTCTTGAAAATAAGCTAATACAGTAGTATTTACGATAAATCAGATAGTGATCATTAAAACATCTATCCCACTTTTCAACATATGAAGGGTAAGCAAAAGTGCACTTATACAATGTAACATTCATTTGAACTAATTATGGTATTCAGTGATATTTGACAGTTTGTTTATCATTACAACAAAACCAGAATTATTATGTATATATATATATTATACATGTATAATAAAAACAGATAAAACACTAATACCACATAGACTTATTACCTAATAGACATTGTAAGGACCATCCAAAAGGACCTGGCAGCTGGCAGTTGACTTCTCTATGAATGAATGCAATCATTTTAGTAGATTTGTATATAATGTACTATGTAAATGTAATCCACACTTATTTGAGGATACACTAGTTATGTGGAAGCAATTTAATTTGTATTCATTAACCTCTTGACTGCGGGAACATACATCTATGTGAAACACAATGTGTTTTCTATTGTCTCATATATTGACAGACAAGAGGTGAAAGAACTTTTACAACAGGCCATGCTCCTTACAATTAGGAAGCTTCACCATTCCTTTCTATATAATCTGTGATATGTCTATGTCTGTTGTCGGGGTGGTCCCTGCTGTGGTGGTGCGGGGGGAGCGGGCGGCGCCGGCGCATCCGGCGGCTGTAGCGTGCGCGTACGCCGCCGTGTGTAGTGTTGCCACAACAAAATTGCTTGATCATCCATAAATTTGCAAACCTGAAAACAATCAACAAATATTATATATTGTTATACTGCTTTAAGCACAAATCCTGGTTAAGATACATCAGAATCAACACAAAAGATCTACTCAAAAGATCTAATTGCAAAATTTAAACACCATTAAAATTAACTCATGACACTGAATTATCAATTTATTAGTAAACATATTAGAACCACATACCTGTGCTGAGACACATTCTCTTCTAAATGCTTCATGTTGCAGCAGCTCTAAGAAGTGGAGGCACATTGGGTACTTGAGATAGCGAGCATATTCTGGCTCCCGCCAGTATTGCAAGTAGCGGAGGTAGTTAATGAATGTAGCTTCTTTCAAATAACCACGCTGTGCCAAGACTGAAACATGTTTTATATTCGAATATTGTTATTCATACTCGTAACAACGTAGGCATGTAACTGTAAACAGTAAGTTGTGCACACTTACAGTGTATGTAGTTAGGGTTGGCTAAACATTGTACAAACTCTAGTTCAACTTGAAACCTTATTCTGTTTTGTTCTTCTGTTTCTGGCATTGCTGAAATACAAATAAATCTTTAATTCGTTTCTTTATCAAATTAATTACATGAAAGTTATAGTGAGGAGAGTACAATCAGCATAAATACCTTTTCCAGCCATCATCTTGAAAGTTTTTATGTATTAAGTGTGCACCCATCAAATTCAATTATTTTACTAGATGCTGTCTATTAGATGATCGTTTATGATTAATTTATAGCTATGAACACGCATAGCAAATTTATTATGAGCGAAAAATCATCTTCATTTCACCAGTTCTTCAACAAACAAATGTCAACGTCAATATTAAAGTACTCTTTGGTCAACGTCAAAAAAACTCGAAAAACGATGGATGTCAAAGATGCGTCAAAGTCGTTGATAGTTATTCTTCACCAAACTTTTTTCAGCTAAGTTTACTAAATCCATCTGATCTATAATGACTGTGTACTGCTATTGTCATTTCTGTAGTAAAAATAACCCATTTTTATTTGAAGGCGTGATGTTATGTATGTTGTGTAAGCAATGAATCATAAAAAATTAATGTAACAAATCAAGTTAATGTAAATAATCAAAAAGTTTCAAAACTACACAATTATATCGTTTGGTTTAAAAAAATATCCTCATCCACTGATCCACCCATGATCCACAAATGATCCACATTCCACATAAATTATGATCCACCCACTTTTCACCACTATAATAATCTAGTCTATGCACCCGCCCCTTCTAGTTCTATATTATTTATGGTACGTCACGTCACCTCGCGATTATGTCGTATAATGTTATTCTATTGTAATTAAATAATTTAAATACCTCCAGTGTAAAGAATTTATATTAATTTGGGTCGAGCGCATGTTTGTATAAAAGTGTTAGAAGTGAAGTGAATTTTAGATAAGCAATCGAATTAAAAACGTCTACAAAAAATGTCTCGTCCAGGTCCTACTTACGTGAACCCTAACAAATTGTTCGAGGATGACGATGTTGACGATGACACATTCGTTAACAGTTTTAGATCAAGAATTCCACCTCCACAACAAAGTAGACCAGCACCTTCTGCATACGGAAGTCAAATTTCAGCTTTAGAACAACAAAGACAAGCTATGTTACAAAGACAAAGAGAAATCGAACAACGAACCTTGGATTCATCCTCGCGCAGCATAGGCCTGTTGCGCGAGTCCGAACAAATTGGAATCGCTACCGCTGAAGAACTCAGTCGCCAGCGAGAGCAACTACAAAATACGAACAGCCGTCTCGACGAAATTAATACAAATTTAAACCACAGTCAAAAGCATCTAAATGGTATTAAATCAGTTTTCCACAGTTTCAGGAATTACTTATCTGGTAAACCGGATCAAACACCTAGGCCTTCCCCTAGCACTAGGAATGCAGGACCTAGCAGCAAACTGAATGATACAATAGATAATCTGACGACACAAGCCACTGGTGATGACCACTTCCGATCACATCCGGCTACAAGGTTGCGTGAATTAGATGGCAGTGCTCAGATGAATGCGCCTATAAGTGACAGCCAGCGTTTCAACCAGGTTCTAGATGCTAACCTAGATGAAATGGTACACACCATATCCAGACTTAAAGGCCTTGGAATTGCTCTTGGTGAAGAAATTGAACAGCAAAACGACCTCATAGACACAATCCAAGATAAAGTTGAAGATGCTGATATTAAGATGAGCAAGCAAAACAAACTGATGAATAAAATACTTGGTAAATAATAGTCCACATTCCTTTTTTGTTAATATTGAACTAAATGCACCAGGTGAAAATTTCAGTCAAAGTTATCTCATGGATGAGCGATGCTCAAGTGCAATATTGAAGAGTATTAGCATAGCCCCATATTTGTATAAAGTATGAACTGATCTTGGAAATGTATTGGATACATTTGTCTATAAGTATAACATTTCCAATTGGAAATACTAGCTCATAATAATAATATGTAAACACAATTAATTATGAAGTGTTGGTATATTATAGTGCTAATGTATTCTTATAAACAAACATGTGCATAAAATTTTGCAGTTGCCTAGTTATTATTAACAATAAGGCTTCACAGAAAACAAATCATTTAGATTTTATCCTGTTATATTTTATGTAATAAATAGGCACTGAGTTACTGTTAGTTAAATGACTGGGAAAATATATCTGCACTGCAAATAGTTTTATACTTTGATATGTTTAAGTAGTCAAATATTGGAATGTAGTTTTTCACATTTCTGATTACAATAACCACATCTATAGACTTGACTACAAAATTTAAATAGAATTTTGTACTTCCTGATATAACCATTAAAATTAATTTGCAATGTGTTATTTTGTTGTAAGCAATAATTATTCTATTATAATGTACATACTTTTATAGAATTTATTACTATTGTGCTATGATTGTGTTTATTTTTGTGATGTGAATTTAGAATCTTTATCAAGAGACTTCTCATTTATTTTTAACAATTACTGTAATTAGCCTGATTCACCATTGAGCCTTATCTGCCAATTAATTCATACATTTTTATCAAAAAACCCAGAGAGCATGTGTAACCCATGTTAATTATTCACAAAAATATTTGCATGCATGAAATGTTGCTCTGTGTACAGAGTAGGTATGTGGAAATAAAGTTTCTATCAAAAACATGTTATTTTATTTATAGTATGAACACAACCACAAGGTCACACTCACTACATACAAATTCATCAACATACCCATTATTAGTTCTACAGGCAAGTTGTCAAATGAAATTGTCTTTATTTATCCGACAAAGTTTAGTTGTAAACGAAATAGATGACAAAGACCTTAATTAATTTGACCTATGTATGCACTACATACTAAAAGTAAATTACCTTGACGAGAGAAGATAAACACTATTTCAATGAAAAAAACAGTAGTTTTGCTCATTGTATTTATTAAAGAAATAATGGAAGGACAGCAACTATGTAGGGAAATCACTATAATGCTGCTGGTATATAATGTACAGCAATGAAATCATATTAATATGCTTGATCTACAGTCTCCAAAATCATATCATTGGCATCAACATCATGAGTTTTCATGTGCTTTTGTAATACTCTCTTGTTTTTCAATTTCTTGCCACAAATGTTACATGGCAACTCTTTGTACTCATGGCATTCTAAATGTATTTTCAAACCAGTGGCTGTAGCAAAACCTTTGAAGCAAAAATCACATTTATGGGGTCTCTCTTTGGTATGAGTGTGTGCAGTATGTACTGTTAAGGAATACTTGGATGGGAAGCTTCTTTCACACCCTTTGTAGGTACATACAAAGGGGCGGGGCTTACCCACACCGGTGTGAACCAAGCTGTGGGCTTTCAAATAAGCTGCTCTTGTGTATGTCTTAGGACAATGTGGACATGCATATTTCTCTCCATTGTGGGTCTTAACATGCATGTTTAAAGTTGATCTAGCAGTAAATCTCTTCCCACAGGTCACGCATACATACAACTTGCGGTTGCTGGAATGTGCTACACGGAAATGTTCCTTCAATGATTGCCTGGACTTGTAGGTCTTATGGCAGAAACCACATTTAAACTGTGCAATATCTCTGTGTGACTTTAAATGCTGTCTTAGTCCACCAGATGTGTGGAAGCTTTTTCCACATTTAGCACAGAGATAATTTCTCATGGTATCACTATGCCTCGCCATGTGATACTGCAAACCATATAAGCGAGTAAAAGACTTGTTACATATAGTGCAGCTGTAACGCTTCTCTCCTTCCATTCGAGGGGGCTGCTCCGCAGATGTTATTTCAGTAACTGGTGGTAAAGGTGTCAATTTGTTATCAGTTAATGTGCTATCAAAGTCTAATGTAGGGTGATTGCTGAACAGTGGAACATCATATTCATGGTCCTGATAAACAACATTTATGTCAATTGAATCTATCTCAGTCCTTTGCAAATGAGTAGGTGATTGAATCATAAGTATTTGCGATAAAGTAGAATTTGCTTTTAAACAGTTCAACTTAAAATCGTATGCAACTAAAGCTGTAGATACACATGAAGAACATATCCCTTGCGGCCAGTTTTCTTCGTCATTATTCTCCAAACAGTTAAGGAAGACCAAAATATCAATTAATTTTACTTTAATCATCTCGTGTTCAATCAAGTCTTGTACGTTCATAAACATCGCTGTATCCGATTCCGAGAGACAGGTGCGACAAATGTTTTTTGTTAAAGGCAAAATTAAACCTGTGAACTCCATTTTTAATCTCTAAGATTTCATTTAAAAACAGTTTTATTTTCAATGATGTGAAAAACATGACATTACAAGCTCCACATGGATCCACGCTCTGAACCAAGTTTTCGTAAAAAAATATTAACAATTGAGTAATGTCATAGTGACATTAGTGTTTAGTGTTTCAACAATATCTTTTTCGCTTTATTATATTTGGCACTAGGTTCTTTGGACAAACAGACAAATATTTTGAAGCTTTACGTTAAGAAGCAAATTCAAATCAAATAAATCAAATCAAAATCAGTTTGGCGCGTATGACTTTTTATTTTAACCGACTTTATCTACAGTCTACACCCTTCGTTTAACTAAAATTCACTAACTAACAAGAACATCTCTAATCTCTATAGTCTAGTGGATGTAGGGTGGGCCAGTAAAGTGATATGCCAACTCGGAATGACTAAGACTCGATTTAACCCGAGTTAAAATCCACATAACTCGGGTTGATCTCGAATTACGTAACTCGAGTTAACTGGATGGACAAATAAATGATTTTTTGAGATTTTTCCAAATTATTCCCTCAGCTTGGCATAAATACTTCAAAAATTTTTTTTATTATCAATACATAGTATAAAACAAAGTCGCTTTCGCTGTATGTCCGTATGTATGCTTAGATCTTTAAAACTACGCAACGGATTTTGATGCGGTTTTTTTTAATAGATAGAGTGATTCTTAAGGAAGGTTTGTATGTATATACATATTGCACCCGTGCGAAGCCGGGGCGGGTCGCTAGTTTATTTATAATGGGAGAGTTATACCTAAAGAAACATAAAAAGATAATTTTTGAAATCGAATAATTTAATTTAAGTAATTTTGGCTCGAGTTAGAGAGAAATCAACTCGAGTGGATGCCAGTTAAGCCCAACTCGAGTTGACTCGAGTTAACCATCACTACAGACAGAGTCTATAAACTACCCGATATATTATTTTACTCTATGCTATAAACTAAAAAGGCCTACAAAGGCACAGACCTACTTTACTATAATACTTAATCTATGCTTTATAGTCTGTGTCTTTCTTTTGACGTGTGTGGTGCGTCGTGGGCAGACTGGAGATTCTCCAGTTTTATCAATATTATAAAATACTTTCATGATTTGGTCACCAATATCCATTGTTGAGATCAAAGTAATTTATAGTACTTTCTGTAGAAGGTGAGTGGAACATCTTAATCGTGGAAATACGTAATGTGAAAGTTCTAACCTCTACCAACCGGACAACACCTTTTGTGAACCATATTTTTTCTAAAATATTAAATATTCTATAAATTTTATCGTATATATTCGCGAGTGTAAGTGAGTATTAACATGAATGCTCTGTTTTTTAGATAAATCAGTAGTAAAACGTAAATATGAGTCGTTTCTTTGCGACTGGTACTGACTCCGAGTCTGAAAGCTCGAGCGAGGACGAGCCAGTAGTACGCGCACCCGCACCCGTCTATACGGTAAGTTTATTCTCCATTTTAAAGAACATTTCAATTGTCAGTGCAAAATCCTTTGATTTGTATTAAGAAACAACAACATCATCTATACTGAGATGTGGTGATTACTGATAAATACCATGCATCGAACAAAACATCTTAAATAAATGCTTACATTGCAAACAAATACTATTTTGCATGTGCAAACAAGAAACGTCTACATTAGTTAAAGGCCTGGCCTTCCTTTCCTTCCTAATGTAATTATAAACCAAACCAACAGGTAAACTTATAAGTTTGGTCCAGCAAACTAATAGGTACATTAAGTTACTATTAAAAAATGCTTAATTACCACTATAATAGGTTACAAAATAAACTAAAACTTAACTTTGTAAATTGTACTTAGTAATCTCTTCTATAGAGATGCTATTTTATGTTTTATTTTCCTAGCATATCAATATATTCTGAACTTTATTTTCCTAGCATTTCAATATTTTCTGAACTGGCTAAGACCATGACTTAGAAGGGGCTAAATATTAATAAAGATGACCTATAAGGGTTCCAAAAAAGATTAATTTTGACAACCAAGGGAAATTTCACAATTGTGTTGAACTTATCATCATTAGTTTTATTGATTCATTAGTTTCTTCATACTTTGGGTGCTTTATACCTATCAAGTACTTTGTAAATATCAGCAATCACCTTGTTTATTATGGTGTTAAATGGGTTTGTATTATAATCTTCCAATGGCCTATGCCATATTTATTTGTTTGCCAGATTCAAAGATTTTTATAATTATTTTACTGTTGTTAGTGCTATGGCCCAATAATATAGCAGGTGCTTGAAATAATTATTTCTATCCTCAGTTCAGTGATGATGAGGAGGAAACGAAGCGCGTTGTGCGCTCCATGAAGGAGAAGCGATATGAAGAACTGGAGGCAATCATCCATTCCCTGCGTAACCACCGCAAGATCAAGGATTTTTCTTCAGCTCTTGCTTCTTTTGAAGAGCTCCAACGAGCCTACACTCGTGCTGCACCTGTTGTACTAAAAGAAGAAAATGGAGTTGCTCCGAGATTCTTCATTAGAGCACTTGCCGAGTTGGATGACTGGGTGACTGGAGCATGGAATGATCGTGACAGCAGAAAGGCATTGTCTAAAGGCAACAGCAAGGCACTGACATCCTTGAGGCAAAAATTAAGAAAATATGCAAAGGACTTTGACACTGAGATGTCTAAGTTCCGTGAGGATCCAGATCTTCCTGATGATGATGAAGAACGTAAAGGTATGTAGTGTTTGATTCAAATAATTCATATGGGAAGTTATTGATTTCCAATAAAAATATGCAATATTAAAATACTTTTAATATACTGTTGTGTAAGTTGTGTAAATTAATTCTATAATCATTTTTTTATTTAGACACCTCATCCTCTGATGAGTCTGATGACGAGGAAAAGGTAAAGGAGAAACCGCGAGTGCGGTCAGTGCAGCCTGAACCGCCGCGCCGTCCTCCTCCACAAGATGACGAGTCCTCCGATTCCATGGACTGGGGCTCCAGCTCTTCTGATTCGAGCTCCAGCTCTGATGACGAAAACCGTGGAGCCACCACCATCCGAGAACGATTCTTGAAGAGAAACACTGAAAGGGATGAAGATGAAGACAGAGACAGGCGCAAGGCCAAACGTCGTGAGGACAGGCGTGATGCTAGAATTGGTAAAGTTAAGAAAGACCAAGCTGATGATGGAGGCGAATGGGAAACTGTCAGGAAGGGCGCTGCCACCTCTGATAAACCTAAGATGTTTGCCAAGGTAAGATATTGTGGCTTATTAATTGTGCTACAATATTAATACATGATAATGTTGGTTTATCATTAATAATAACTTTTGTTCTCCTCCTGTAGGACAGTGACATTGATGCAGCACTGGTAGTAAAGAAACTGGGTGAAATCAGCGCAGCCCGTGGTCGCAAACGTACTGATCGCCGCGCTCAACTGGAGTTGTTGCATGAATTGCGTACTGTAGCTGCAGCCCACAACCTGGGAGATGCTCTCCAACTCAAGCTGCGCGCCGCCACTGTGGCCGCTCTCTTCGACTACAACCCTAAAGTATCAGATGCCATGAAACCCGAATATTGGTCAAAACTCGTCGAAAATGTGGACCACATGGTCACCCTACTTTTAGCTCACGAAGATATGCAACTGAGTGAAAGTATCACTGAGGAAAATGAATCACTAGTGACTGCACCCTTCCTCGTTCGTGGTTGCCTATTGACGGCTTTAGAACGGCTTGATGACGAGTTCACTAAGCTGCTTAAGGAGTGCGATCCCCATTCTAATGAATATGTTGAAAGATTGAAGGACGAAGTTCGCGTTTCTACACTTATTGACCGCGTGTGCCAAGTGGTCGAACGCGACGGCACTCCACAAGAAATATGTCGTGCGTATCTCCGTAAAATTGATCACTTGTACTACAAGTTTGATCCTCGCGCAGTGCGCAAAGATCTTCCTCCTGGTGAGGAAACTACCATCAAAAAAATGGAAAAATTCTGCAAATATATTTACGCTCACGATGAAACTGACCGACTTCGAACTCGTGCCATCCTGTCACACATCTACCACCACGCTCTGCACGATAACTGGTTCCAAGCCCGAGACTTACTATTAATGTCACATTTGCAAGAGACTGTTCAACATTCAGACCCGAGCACTCAGATTTTGTACAATCGTACTATGGCCAACCTAGGTTTGTGCGCTTTCCGACGAGGCAATGTTAAGGAGGCCCATGGCTGTCTAGCTGAACTGATGATGACTGGCAAACCCAAGGAACTGTTAGCTCAAGGTCTGCTGCCTCAGCGGCAACACGAGCGTTCTAAGGAACAGGAAAAGATAGAGAAACAACGCCAAATGCCGTTCCACATGCACATCAACTTGGAACTGCTTGAATGTGTGTATTTAGTATCTGCCATGCTAATTGAGATTCCATACATGGCCGCCCATGAGTTCGATGCTCGCAGACGCATGATCAGTAAGACTTTCTACCAGAACTTGCGCGCAAGTGAGCGTCAGGCTTTGGTAGGCCCGCCCGAATCCATGCGTGAGCATGCTGTGGCTGCCGCCAGAGCGATGCGCCGCGGAGACTGGCGTGCTTGTCTGAATTTTATTGTAAATGAGAAAATGAACGCAAAGGTGTGTATTACCATATTTTTATTTTTTAAAAGGAACATTTTATGTTACCATTTTCGACTACTTATTGATATAATTAATTACTTTTAATGTCTATAGGTTTGGGACCTGATGGTGGGTGCTGACAATGTCCGTGCTATGCTTGGTCGTCTGATCCGCGAGGAGTCGCTCCGCACTTACTTGTTCACTTACGCCCACGTCTACGCTTCACTCTCGTTGCGTTCCCTGGCGGATATGTTTGAGCTGCCGCGCCAGCGCGTGCACTCTCTCGTCTCCAAGATGATCATCAATGAGGAGCTGTTGGCATCACTTGACGACCCCAGCGAGTGTGCTATCTTACATCGTTCAGAGCCAACTAGAATGCAGGCTTTGGCATTGCAGCTAGCTGACAAGGTAAATTATAGATGCATAGATGCACACAAGTAGTTTACATCAACATTCTTGCCATCTTTCATAATCAGGCTTCCTATCAATATATTATCGTATATTATATTAAAACTGGCTATTATATTATACCATGCTCAAGCAGAAACTAAAATGCTATTACGATCTGTAAAAATGAATTATAAATATTGATTTTGAATATTTACAGGTTGGCAATCTAGTGGATTCGAACGAGCGTATCTTCGAGAAACAAGGCTCGTTCTTCCAGCGCGGCGGCGCGGGCGGGCGCGGCGAGGGGCGCCAGCGCGAGCGGCCGCGTGAGGGCTGGAACCGGCGCACGCGCAACCGACGCCGTGACGACGAACGTGGGGACGACTAGCATTACTATAGGGATTTAAAGAAGACCAGTCGATTTGTCTTATAAATACAATACAGTGGTACATTCAAGTAACTTGTACAGGACTGTAAGTCTGTAAAAATTAAATCTTGCGGAAATATCTGAAGAGATTGATGGTAAGCTTTTGCTAGTGAATCGTTTGCAACATCTGTCTGTCTTTGTTTTCTTTTCTTTTCTATTAATAAAAAATCAATGTTTAGGTGTTTCATGTGTTTTTAATTTATCATAAATTTAAAATTGTCTATTGATATTCTCAGATATGTCCGCATAGTTATAGACATGTTAAAATGAACAAACTCCACTGGTTTTCATTATAATCTGTCACAACAATCTAATTGCAACTTCATTTGTATCCGGTTTTTATAAGTTTATAGTATTTGGAACAACATTTAGTTCTGTCCAATATTTTATAGGAGGTTATAAATATTTTAAACTATGTAAGTGGAGAGAAAAGGTTAGCTTTCATTTTTACGTTGATGACAATTTTATGAATATAATGTAAAATCTATTTCCTTAGAACAGCAGTAAAAGAATATAAAAGAAATCGTTAAAACTTATGAAACTTATAAATACTTATAATATCTGAAAATTATTATCTCCAGTTGCATTGTTACATTTTTGTATAGTCTCCTCACAATCCGGTCGTTATAATAAAGAGAGTATATCTCTACATCTATTGTTTTTTATTTCTACATTTTATACTCAAATCCTTTTGTTGTAAACAAATATTAAATATATCTATTTTTGCACTCGAAATTACCTTGTATAAGTGTACGCGAAGAACGATTTTGTACACACGTGGACAAACCTCTATTGGACAGACATACATACACGTTTTAGTGTGGGAGAGTCATGCTTCCTCATTATAGTTACTTTATTTACTCTTTGCATGCTTCGGCATGAATGGGCCGGCTCGACCGAAGTGATACCACAGCCTCACAGAAAACCGACATGAAACAATGCTTGCGTCGTGTTTCGTCGTGTGAGTGAGGTTACCGAGGCCCAATTACCCCCCTTCCTAGTCTCCCGAATCCCCGAATGCTCCACAATCCTCAAATTCCCAATTCCCAAAAGGCCGGTAACGCACTTCTAACGCCTTGGTGTTTCGGGTGTCCATGGGCGGCGCCGATTGCTTACCATCAGGTGATCCGTCTGCTCGTTTACGGGCCTAGGCTATAAAAAAAAGTCAAACCATGGAATAGTAAAAACTAGGTTGAGAACCTCCCTTTTTTTAAGTCTGTTAAAAATAATTAAAATGAATCTTCAGAAAATGTTTAATAGAATACCCGATAGGTGTAATAGTGAGAGAAGGTAGAAAAAACTACAAAAAGTGTGTAAAATCCAATCAGTTTCTGCTTTCAATAAACAGAAATTGTAGGTGCCTGTGGTAATCATGGCAGAATCGACGTCAGGAACTAGTAACGATAACGTAATAAATGTGGCAATCTAAAATAATAATTTTGTCATCTGGCAATGTTATTTTGCTGATTTTTTTTCTTTTGATGATACAAAACGTTTTGTTATTGTTTCATGATCTATTAAGTAAAAACTTATACTAGTTGTTTTATTTTTCGATATTTATATCATTTTCATGATAAATTGTCTTTACAAATAAACCTAAAATAAAAACATTTTATAATCAGTATTTCTATAAGCAATATTTTATTGATAACTCTAAAAATGACAAAATGACATGTCAAATAGCTGAGTGAGACAACGTAACGTAGGTAGTGAAATTTTGTTGGTGTTCGTCGCATTTTGCAGTTAGTATTTCAGCATTTTGTGAAAAATCCTATTATAATCTGGTTATACCCAATAATTATGGTGTTTATGTGGAACTGTATATAGAATAATACTTGAGTTTTTCAAGAAACACTGTATAAAATCTTAGGTTGGGAGTTTGACAGTTACTAATACAATGGCTGCAACGAGGAGACTACAAAAGGTGAGACATCATTTTTTATTAGATCATATCTTCATTTTATATTCCTAATATACATTTTATACGCACGGTGTCATCTATAAATACATGTAACGTTACTAAACAATACATGAAATTGTTGCAATGACGGCAAATTCATACCTATTTATTTATTGATACATGTGAAAACAGTGACCTAGTAATATTATATTAAAAATATGAAGCTGTAGAAGCTACAGACAACTGGGTTATATTTATATATAATCATTAAAAGCCGGTTTTCTGTTGGTATAGGTAGAACCCTGAATCTTCATATAAACATTCTAATTATTTATAGAACTAGGCGTTTTCTACATAAAAAAATTACATCTATTAATCATAATAAACATATTTACTAACTGCAACTGTTCAAACATTTTACTAATAATTGTTTCTCAACTTTCCCAGGAATTAAATGATATCAGGCAATCAGGCTTGAAGTCCTTCAGGGACATACAAGTAGATGAATCTAATATACTGACATGGCAAGGATTAATTGTACCTGTAAGTATACATGCCAAAATCATTTACCATCACATTCTGAAAGTTCTGAATAGAATGCAAATTCTATCAGTCACAAGATGACATGATGCTGAACATAAATCTTCCGCAATGGCTTCCAGATGCAGGTCACTTCCAATAGGTCTATTGGAAGTGACCTGCATAGGCATTACAGTAGTTAAAGTTTTGATTGAAATTACAGTAACACATTCACCTTTCTTATTATCTTTGAGTCTGTAAATACTCAAAGTCAAATCTTTTCTTCCCGGCAGCAGCTGATTTTTGGTTTCTTATCAGAAAGATACCTAAATAAAACAAACCATAGTCTAAGCATTACACATTACATTACCACAGGCTAAAACCTCAATTGATTAATATAAAATATACAAAATACTAGTAATAACCTTACCTTGGTTTTTCCATGTATGTTGTATTTGGTACCCACACATTCTTATTAGTATCAGTTTTTGTGGTTAGTTAATTATAGGTATTTGTTTTACATTATCAAATCCATATTATAAAAGTTTGGTTGCATTATAATAAAGAAACAAAATAGTATGACTAAGCTTTTAATGCCTATATTCTGAATTTACAGGACAATCCTCCTTACAACAAGGGTGCTTTCCGCATTGAGATTAATTTCCCTGCAGAGTATCCATTCAAACCTCCTAAGATAAGTTTTAAAACCAAGATTTATCATCCAAATATTGATGAGAAAGGTCAAGTCTGTCTGCCAATCATAAGTGCAGAGAACTGGAAGCCTGCCACTAAGACTGACCAAGGTATGCACCCGTTTTTTATTTTGATTAATAAAATGTGAAGTGTAACATATTCTTATTTACTTATATTTTGTAAATAATTTCAGTTATTCAAGCTCTAGTGGCCCTTGTCAATGACCCTGAACCAGAGCACCCACTGCGTGCAGAACTTGCTGAAGAATTCCTAAAGGACAGAAAGAAGTTCACAAAAAATGCAGAGGAATTCACTAAAAAACATAGTGAAAAGCGGCCCACAGACTAAAATAGTTTATTAAATCATTACTGATTAGCTTGAATTTGCAGTAGTGGCGCCAATCTGCCGATTTTGTAGCAATGTGTGAATAAGTTATTTAAGAATGCATTTATTTTCCCAAGACAGTATTTATAAGATCTTTTACACCGGTAGAAGGTGGACTGTGTTATCCTTTGAGATCACATCCACTGCTGTAGATTCAAACTAATATTGCATTTGATTTTACACTGGTACTAGCTTTTGAATCACCTTGCTTGCAATACATACATAAGCACTATAAAGAATTAGATTATTATTAAATAAATAGAAATCGAAAATGTTAAATGCGTATGTGCATTAGAATGAGTAATATTTTATATTTTAAATAAATAAATAGCAATATTCCCAGAAATTATAGTCTTGCAAAGGAATTTATTATCTGCTTATGTTGTTCCTGAAGACAGGTAGCTTTTATCTATCTAATGTTGTATGTAAACTATTGCTATGTAAATAAATGAAGAACCTGTGTTAACTGACCCCACTCCACAAGTTAACTTTTTGAACAAATTGTCTATAAATTCAGACCTTAGTGTGTGCTTTTTTTATTTAAACACTGTCAGTGTTGCAATGTGTTGTGTAAAAAATTACTCATCAGAGCTAATATAATTCATCCAACTATTGACTGGTTACTGGGTTGCACTACACATAAGAAACCTGTGTACACAAGACTACTTGTCTAGCTACATCTACATCTCAATGTTACGTGGTAACTTCTGTGCTGAACAGTTCAGTGCGAACTTTAAAAATATATTTTTTTCGAATTATTATATTGTTTTATTTTTACATTGCCAACATGAGAGCCATGTTAAATTACTACAAAACAAGTAAAATTTTAAATCAGCACTTTATTTGATACATATTAAAAAAAATGTATTGATGTGGTGATTTGAAGTTTGAAGTTGTAGTTTGTGCTTCGTAACATACATGATAAGTAATGTTCATATTTATTTTGCCAAATATTTCATTAGATTTGCTGTAAATGGAAATAAAATTGGAATATAGTATGTAGTTGTAATTTCAAACTTGAATATAAATGAAATTTCTAAGTAATGCATTATTAATCTCACCATTAATTTTTTCAATACACTCGTCTATATAAGAACTTTTATTGGTATCTTTAACTAGAGTAGCAACCATAGGTAGGGTATAATCAGGACCATACTCTGGCCAATGATTATGGTCTGGTATCAACTCATCTAAGTTTACTTCAGCAACTAAAGCAGTAAGGGATGTCCACAAACGTGCTGTGTTGTCATGCCTGTATCCACCTGAAAATGGAAAAGGACTTAAATAACTAGTATTCTAATTCAATATTTCTCCTTGAAATTAATAAGTTAATATGTACCTCCCCCTAACAAAAGAGTGGGTTTTCGTTTGTCAAGTACTTTGCGTATACAATTACTGTAACCCTCATGTGTTAGGTTTGCACCACCACTAGGGTCCTGCGCACATGAATCAGCGCCGCACTGAACCACAATGACGTCAGGAATAAAGTGACTATAAACAGAGCTGAACACCCTGAAAATGAAAAATTAAACTTTGAATTAGAATTAAAAGATTTTCAATAATTAATTTTAGTATGAAAACTATTGTTAACATCACTCTGACCTCTCAAATGCATACTCCAGAGTATTATTACCATAACCTGCATGTAGAGGAAAGTTGCAGCAGTAGCCCATCCCTCCCTGAGTCCCAATATCATCTATACTTCCCGTGCCAGGGTAAAAACCTGGTTCAAACTTGTGAAAAGATAGAGTAAACACTGATTTACTCAAATTATAAGCATCTTGTACTCCATTGCCTAAAATAAAAGAGAAAAAATGTTGCTATTACATTTTGATAAAAAGCTCAAAATACTGAGTTGAAAAAAAGATACCATGATGTGCATCCAGATCAACATATAATACTTTAGGGAACTTCCTCCTTAACTTTTCAATAGCTATCACTATGTCATTTACATAACAGAATCCTTCCGCACCAAACCTAAAAAAAGCATATTTTACAAGATGTTACATTTTTGTTGGTATTAATTTTGTTTCTGTAATATCTAGAAGGTAATTACACAAAGTACCTATGTGCATGGTGCCAGCCTCCGCACCAGTTGATGGCAACATCAGTAATGCCCAGCAGCAAGCACCTGGCTGCAGTAATAGAACCACCTGCTATGGTCGACACCAACCCATACATGTTGGACACAGGAGGACAGTCATAGCCTGGGAGATTTTTTTTTTTGATAAGGAACATTATTTGTTAGCTTGTAAAACAATTACTATTGGCCTATATAGAGTAGGTAAAAAATTAAGTTCCAATTAAAATTTATTTGCATCCAGGATCAGGATTTTTAGAGTATTTTAAAGAAAGAGATTTAATTACATGTAAATACTATTACTTTATCAAGAAACATTTTTTAATCTATCCAAACTATCAAACCATACCAATGCCACATTCCTCATCTTCCGTAGTGGTCATGTAATCATCCTGAACGTCGGTAAACTTCTTCAAATGGTCCAGATACAATTCTGAATGGAACTCTTTCAAATCATTGTATGTCGCTGGGGACGATTTCACAACAGTAACATGCTTCAAGACATCGTAGGCCACTATTAAGTCATGGACCATACTAGCCTGAAACAAATTAAATCAGTTTGTATGGGAACAATGTTTGTAAATAAATGTTTATATTACTTGTTTTTTTAGTACCCTTCCGCCTACAGCCGGGAGCCGATCACATTCTTCTATTAATTGTTTGTCCCAAATATAACAAGGCTTTTTTTTAATCATAGCTTCAAATATTATTTCATATGATCGTGAAAATTTTCAAAGTTGTGTTTATGGAACTTGTTGATAAACTACTCTCCTTCCGACATTGCATTATTTGGCGCGCATCGGAGATTTACTTTTTTGTTGACATTGACACCAAGTACTGTCAGTGTTACCGAACTTGATAGATAGTGTTGTAGTTTGTCTATATGACGACGCAACATAAAAACTATGGCAGCACTATAAAATTATGTTGAATGTCATCAGCCAGTTAATAAGTTATACACGCAAAAGGGCAATTCATAGCAGAGCTGGACAAATTTTTCTTAAGTATAGGTATGTTTTTACTCGAAGCCTTCCTACCCGTATCGTATTAATGTTTATATTTTATGAGCCAGAAGTGAAAAACACAATTATATGTTTAAAATAAGGATTGTTTACATTGCACATTTATTTATAGGTTAGTTTTGGGTTTTATTTGGTTGGCACTTCCGACCTGTGGCGCCCTCATTGATTTTCAATAACAAATAGACAAACTGTATCTTTATACAACTGATGATCTTTATGAAATAAACAGCTAGAAAATATATAAACCATTGAATAGGTCACAAAATAAAAGATACACAAGCTTAAAAAAAAATTAGTAACAATCATGAACGCGTTGTTAATTTAACTAGTAACACTTAACAACAAAAAATATGAACGCGTCATTCTCGATCATAGACTAATGATGCCTTTCAAAATTTAAATGATAAAATGTGGTAGTTTATGGATAAACTTTTTAATTTCATTGGCTCAAATATTTTTGGATGACCAATCAGAAGAAAGCTGCCTAGGAAAAACAAGCGTCCATTTTCTACAGAAATCATACACTCTGTCTTGACATTTTGACATTATCAAAGAAATTACATGAATTACTCATATTTTTTACTGAAATATATGTTGAAGTGGTTTAAATTTGACCGTTTATAGTTAAGGTAATCTGAAAAACTGCAATAAAATGAAATATACGTGACATCAAATGTATAAATCACATGATAAGTTCTTGCGATCTTAATATGACAAGGTCTGTTACAAAATATTGGTAACTCGAGCCACTCTGGTTTTGTTTTTGTCTAGTTTAACCACTTCTTCGATGGTGTTATGTGATTTTATAACATCGATTATCAAGTTCAAGTGGAGATGGTTCGAGGTTAGTATTTAATATTTACATAACTATACATAAAATTGTGATGATGTCCATGTTATGTTCTAGAGATCCTTTGTTCGCGGTACCCGCTTCTGTATTTCTATGTTTTAATGCATGCTTTTACAGTCATATTTCTTCACGAAATATGGTTCGCATTAGTGTGCCTTACTTATTAACAGCGTTCATTTTTGTAAATTTTATCTCATGTGCATTCTAGAAATGAATTCACTAATAGTAAATTCTGGATGCTACAATATTTCAGAAGAAAATGCTGTAAACTAACCTATTTACTTAATATAACGCATATTATTAATTCCAATTACAAACAAATTTAATATTATGTAGTGATAAATAATTGCTTTTTTTTGTATTTTTCTTATCATCTGTTATTTTACTGTAAAAATATTGTAAAATAAATATTCTGTTCTAAATTTAATATCTGTTAAATAGGCCATGTGATAAGACCTCTTATATTGTCAAAGTAGCAGCCACAAAATATTGTAATACTCAGTCAATTTTCCAAAATGTTTTGGTTCCATAGTACTTCTATCTTTTTTCTTTTTTTTTTCTCACCCTGAAATTCCTTGATGAGTTGGCAAAAGTTGGTGTAGATAAGAGAGGATTATAGTTCCTATACTTTTTACATCATTGGGTTTGTTTCATTACTTATATTTTCACTTCTCATGTATCTGAGAACCTTGGACAGAATTTACAAAATTTATCTATAAATTATTAAATTTTATTAGCGTTGTCATGATTCCCATTGGACTTTGTACCTCCTACATGCATTTTATCACAGTGACATCACTTACATTTTTTTTACCCTAACAAATATTTATATGCCGTCACTGGTATAGTGCTTATATCCCTTTGGCATTAATTGGTTATATAGGTATTTAAGTATATTATTTCTTTATTTTATTAATTGTAATAATTAGAAAAAAATAAAATGTAGCCACAAAGCAGCTTCATTTTTGACTAGTTATTAACTTATTATCGTAAACCAATTATACATACAGATAAACTTTAAAACATTTCTTTTTATTATAAATATGATAACCATAATAATTATTAATTATAAAACAATTAATAATTATAGAGAATTCATAATTCAATTAATATTGTAAGTAAAAATTGAATAAATATACAGACTATATTTATTTCTATAGTGACCATGTTCCAAAGTATTTTTTTATCTTTGCTCCTGCTTCCTGTGTATATTTTTATGGTTCTTCTAATTTCTTTGCATGCATTTGGTTGTAAAAGTCTTGTAGAAACAATATCTTAAAATCACAACTCAAAGTATACTGTGATATTCTAATCCAAATATTATACAAAGCAGTAGGGAAAGTGCAATCATTCCTTTTAGTGATGATTATAAGTGTTGTATAATATAGTTGTTGGTATGGTTTCCAGCCAATAGCTTGATGGCAGCCCAGGAGGGTGTGAAGACCCCCCACCGCATTGAACTATGCGAGGAGAAGCCTGTCAGACCTACGCGCAACTATAGAAAGCGCAGGTAACTGAGGCATTGTTTCTATTAAATATTATATACTTCTGCATTCACTATATCAAATACCCGGTCAATATTTCATCTAGCTATGAAATCATGAACACTAAATATAAGTAACGGGTTTTTCATACTATTGCACCATATTGAACACATTTATTGTCAGTAAGAACTTGCAAAGCACTCATTTGTAATTTCATATTATGTTATACTAAGTAACTGTAAGAAGCTTTGGGAGCTTAAATTATTTCTGGTTGTGGTTATAATGTAAACTGAAATAAGTCAGAGGTACAAATATGTCACATATTTCACTAATATTGTTTCTCTTAGGATAATATCTGCAGTACAGCCAAAGACTGAGAATGCAGTAAGTTCAGAACCTCCATTGAAGAAAGTCGAATTAAAGTCTAAGCCACTGAAGACTAGCAACGGTATTACAAACATGACGAACGGGCACACGCTGAGGTCGAGAGCGGCGCGCGCAGCCGCCCGAGCTGCCGAGAGTCATAAACTTACTGAATACTTCAAGGAAGAGCTGAAAAGTCCTAAAGTCGAACCTCCACCGTCGCCGCCACCGATTGAGAAAACCATAACTAAATTGGAAAAAGTTGTGAATGGTGATTCCAACCACAAGTTAACAGAATACTTCCCAGTTAGACGAAGTGTAAGGAAGACATCGAAATGTGTCATGGCAGAGAAGATGCGGGACTTGGAGCGGGCTGTGAGAGAACAGAGGGAGGATGGACTGCAAGTAAGTTATATTTATAAAACATTATGCTTATCCATTCGAAGAAGTGACGGTCGATTCTTTGGAGGAGAGCTTCGCAAAATATTTTGTAGTAGAGGAAAAGACATGAATTACTGAAAGCAGCCCGTTCATTTCTTCAAATCCTATTTGAAGAATCATCTATGTTGTGTTGCCGATACTTTCTTATCCGTAATGCGATATTACGTCGTATATTAACTATGTGCATTAGAATTAAAATTAAAATATGAATCATAATCTACGTAATAAAATAACGTAATCAGCCAAAGCTAACACGTCACAAGTGTCTAAATTTTCCTCCTCATTAGTCAAGTAAAGTGTAGTCTGTCTTCTAATTTCAATTTGCCACTTACACATGATGTGAATTACCTACACTTACATATATGCATACACGGACTTAGAAAAAGAAATAAAGGTTGTAGTTTTAATCCCTTAAATACCTACGCAATGATCTTAATTATCATCAATTTCTTATAATGTTGACGTGTAAAAGTGTTATTTGTTTATTTACAAAGATGAATTCATTTCATATTTCCTGAAAATGATAAACAGTTCATGAGAAAGACAATAATAACAAGAAATGTAATATTCGTTCGAGCAATCGTTTTAACGAGTATATCGACATTTGCTCATTAGTTACCACCAATTACTTCGACGAATCTTCGTTTAAACTGTACCCATTATCTAATTGATACTGCAATCACTGCAATATGTGGTTTTCCAGTTGAAGAAATACATAATAAGAAGTAAACAAAAAATATATTAAGTATTATTAGAAACAATACCATTTTTGAACACAGGATGAGTACTACGAAAATTGGGACGTAGGCTTATTTTTGAAAATGACTACATAGCTTATGTATATGGAACGCTCAGGTTATCTGAACACATAATATTTCAAAGCAAAATAATACCCATTATGTTAAAACATGCCAAATGGCTATTGAACAATATTTTCTTTACTTCCGTATCATTAGATGACCTAGTCTCACTAGGTCTGGCGGTACTCAGCAATATCACTAACTTCCTTCCCTAACACTGTAGGTTACAAAATAGATAGATAAGCTTTAGTTATCAGTGCAACGGCAAGGCCAGCCGTTAAAACTATCTACCGAGTAATGAGTTATTGTTTACAGATTAATCTTACTAGAATATTCTATTAATGTTACACAAGATTAGTTTCGTAATCAATACAGTATTATATAAATGAATGTAATAAATTACATTAGGTACTTACCTATGTTTCTAAAATTCTGCATCGAGCTTATAAGTGAATTTTTTCTTTATAGTACGAGAGATGACGACCAAAACCATGTCTCATAGCAATACGGCAAAATCCCTATAAAATCGTTAGATTGTACGATTCTGAACCCGACTAGGTGTGTAGTAACGGTCGAAAGTGTAGCAACTGGGTGGGAGGCCATTTCTGCTGTGTCAAAAATATCTGAGTATCGAAAAGTTGTCCGATAGAGAAGGTGCTACACTTATTTTGTCTGATATTTTTTTTGCACATGTGGACAACTTATTTTATCATGTCCAACAATTTTTAGACATATTGCCATGATACCGATCGGTGAAATTTGTTAACATTTTCAAAACGGAAAACGGAAAAAACAATTTCCGTCTGAAAATTGTTTTGTTCGCATCAAATAACCAAAATTTACTAATTAAAAAGGTTTTCAGACGTATTGCTATGAGACATTTTTTTGTCTGGTGTTTTTGTGGTCAGATCAAACGCTACGCGGAAAATGTCTGATATTGGTATTCTCGAGTTCAGGATAATCGTATCTATCGATTTGAGGCGGTTTTGACCGTATTGCTATGAGACAAAAATTTTGGTCGTCATCTCTCGTACTATTAGCTTTCGTAATACTGTCTAGGTTTTCTGGTTGGCTGGTGACCCCTGTACTCAACTTATGTTGGTTCGGGTCATCGTCGGTCATGCCTATATTGTATGTTATAAAAAAATATGGCAATGTAAAACTAGTTGTATTTCACCATATTACCTGGTCATAGAGTCAATTCATACTTATGCATAGTCAATGCGGATCGATACGTTAACCTGAAAAGCGAATATAGCAAATTCTTTTAATTATCTATATTTTTTTTAATTATAACAAAATGTAATTATATATAAATATTAGCTGACCCGCGCCCACTTTGTTGGGCGGTAAATAGCCATTAGTATGGATAACTTCAAAACTAAAGATCCAATTTTAATCATTCAAAGACCAAATATTATCTACATAAACTTACTTAGTGATGAATTAATTTATTTTGATAGGATTAATAGCATGAGTAAATCCTTTTATTTCACAGGTGGCATATTTCGATGGCAAGGGGCGCGGTGTAATAGCGACCCGTCCGTTCGGTCGCGGACAATTCGTGGTGGAGTACGCTGGAGAACTGGTGGGCGTGGCGGAGGCGAGGGAGAGGGAGCACAAGTACGCACAGGACCCCGAGGCCGGCTGCTACATGTACTACTTCAGACACGGAGACCAACAGTATTGGTGAGTACTGATTACAAATGTGTACTAAATAGATCAAGTCAGTATCTATTCATGTAAAGTCATGGGGCTGTTCCATTCGAGCACCAGGCACTCAGGCAAGGAGGCATGTCATTTTGCAAAGTCTCATAGTACACACAAGGCATTAGGTTAATTTCTAAGTTTCATCCAAATTTAACCAATCGCCATAATTATATTTTTTGACAGAATACGGAAACCTATCTGATAGTTTATTCGAGCAATGAACTCGTTTTCATATCTTTTTAAAATCGCTTATGTCATTTAGTATCCTTATACATTTTCCTGCAGTTTTTTATTTCTATTTTATTGCACATAATTTTATACTATTATTAGCGATATAATTATGCGCTATTATAATTACACAATGAATTATTGTACTTTAGCTTATATTTAAACATGCACTGTAAACAGTTCAGTTGATGTGCTATTTGTCTTATGCAAAGTTATGCCATAAATTACGTTCGAAGTCATATTGACTGAAAAGGAGTAACGACTATTTAATTTGATAAATTAATAATGTGTTAGTAAACTCGAGCCAGTCGAATACTTATTTTTAAATAACATGTTTGTTTATAGTATCGACGCGACAGCAGAGTCAGGTCGGCTAGGTCGGCTGGTAAATCACTCGCGCAATGGTAACCTGTCGACCAAGGCGGTGTGGGTAGACGGGCCGCGACTGGTGTTGCTGGCGGCGCAGGACATCGCGCCAGGCGAGGAGCTCACCTACGACTACGGAGACCGCTCCAAAGAGTCACTACAGCATCATCCTTGGCTCGCACTCTGACCTGGGTGAGCCATACACACTTTAATAATAATTACTAAGAAGTTTGTTGACCGGATATCGAATATTTATATATAACTTTAAAAGATTGTGCCGTAACATAGTCATTTCCTCAACAATTTCAATCAAACAAATTAGATTCACATTTGTGTCAATTAGACATTATTAAGTTAAAATTATAAACATACCATAAAATATTATGTAATTTGATTTACTGAGGAGTTGGAAATAATATTGGAAAAAAACTACACATTATATTATTTGTTGTAACAAGCTGTTATGATAATTTACTCCCAGTACATAACATGATTTCTGTTGACTTGTGTAGAAATCAGCCGGGTTACCATCAGCCATTATAGTGCCAAGAATGCGGAACTTGTCAAATCTGAATATAGCTTTAATACAATTTGAATGTAGTCATACTAGTCATAGTATATTTATAATTTTTATGTCAAGTAATATTATGATGGCATCAATTCGTGGTGATTTGAACTTAAATTGATTTGTTATATGAATTGATATATTATGCGTGTTTGTCACCACATGTCTTTGAGGCGAGAAGTTACATGAAAAAAGGGAAACAAGGTATGCCGTTTTAAGGGCTGGCGCTCGGCGGCATGGTTATCTGTTATCACCTACTAAAACATACCTCTTATTGGCACAACTCTGTATTGACTATAGTAGGTCACAAATCTAAATTGTTCACAATGGTATAGTTCAGTTTTTCCAACTGGACACCGTATACAGGCGCCGGCTCTTTAAGGAAGATCGAAGTTAACATAACTTTGAAATAACGATATGTTAAACATTCAATACATCTTTTTCAGGTATGGTCGACGAAAATCTCATTGGACTACTAATAATTATTTATTAATTTAGCCTTAGTTACTATGAAGTTTGTTTGTTATAGTTTTATGTTGATTGGACATTGATGTGTTTAGTAGTGAGACAAGTGGCCTAACACTTTGGACGCTATGACGGAGTGGTCGGATCACGATTATTAAACTGCCTTAAACCACTCGTGGTTATGTGACTAAGATATGGAAATAAATAAAGACAACTATGTAAAGAGGTTGCGTCAAAGCAGTTGCAGTTGTCTACGTTCAGTGCTATTGGCATTCGACATACTATGAGAAATATGTCCAGGCGACTGAAATATAAAATGCATTTTTTGCATATGACTTCCGAGAATGAGAAAGACAAAAATAAAAACAACAAAACAACTGTTTTGACAATCTCTGAGAACCCAGAGCTGTCAGAATTTTTGTAATAAGTAAGGATGTTGCGTTTATTCTGTGTTGTCTTTTTGTAGTATTAAAGCGTGCAACAGTATTTCATGTTTGTTTTGTGATGGGAGTAATCTCAGGCTCATAGACAACTAATGTTTACTGCTTAGTTTTAATTCTTGGGTTTAAAGTGTGGATTTGAGATTTGAGTTCTATAATCAACATCCCCTGTATAGAAAATATAAAATGTATAATGGCTTAAACGAAATTATTTGGGGGTTGGGAAACAATGTGGAATTTATGTAAAAAGCTCAGTGGATGTAAAGTTCTGCAAACATCATGTTGGATAGTACAGAGGTTGTCTTAACTAAGTAAAAGTTTCTAAATGATGAATTATGTGTTGCTATATTAGCGATGCAGTTTACGTCCACTGAGTAAAAATGACACTTTCAACTAGGTATCTTAAAACAGGGATATATTGTTAAACCAAATTGTTCCAATTTTATACGAGCTATTTTGGGTAGACTAAGTCCATTGTAAGAGATATCAAGTAGATAGTTCAATTGATAGAAGAATGTTGCAGTGTGCCTCAAGTACTGGCTAGTACCAGCCAAGTACTCGGTAAACGGAAGCAACGATTGACACGGCTAAGCACGGTACGATTGTATTTAATCGACGATGTCGAGATGTGACAAGCTCTTAGTAGTTAGGATATGCAAACGCTTTGAGTGTACATTGTGCTCTAAAGATGTCCCTACTTTGCGAGCGATATAACTTGTACGTGTATAAGAGGGTTTACCGTGGTTTGAATATAATTTCAATGTCATTTCTAGGAAACAATGTCAGTTCCTAGTTGTCGATCTCTTCCATGTCGCGTTAATTACTAAAATGTTTCTTTAGCATTGATGAATGATGCCTATAAGGTACAAATTGACCAAGACATAATGATGGTTGCAGACTGTTCCAATGTCAGACTTGCTACCAGCCACGATACAAACTCGGTCACGACACAAACTCGAATAGTTTTCGTATTTAAAATTAGTTTTAATTTTTAAGATAAGTGAAATGTTTTCAGAAAGACGGTGAGGTTGTAAGAGTTGCTCATTGTATTAAAGATATTTTTTAAATATCGATTCCTAAATTTGTCCAAAGTCCGAATATGTGCTACCTTTTATTTAATTCCTCCATTTTGAATATAATTCAATATCATTTGGAATTAGTGTTGTATTCATTTATCAAATGATGCTGCGATTGCCCACCGAAGTGAGAAATTAGGCTTCCATCCATTGTTACATCACAGAACACCACTATAGCAATAATACTACTTATAATAGTTGTATAATATTAGGCTCCATTTCACTATTTAATATGGTGATGATTACGAACACTTCAGACATGATAGAGAACAATTATTTTTTAATATTAGATTTTTGCAAAACTGAATCAGTTTCGGTAGTAAGTAATTATATAATAAATACACCAAATAATATACATAATAGAGATAGTTTTATAAAATTATCTCTATTATCGCATTAGATTCGTTGAGTCCAAAAAGAAACCCTAAACATCCATGAATGAAGGAAACTATAATATCAAGTCGCGTATTGAGTACATCAGGTGATACTCTTATCTTAGCTCGTAGTCCAAAATGGTGTGAATAGTTAGCCAAACTATATTGGTGGGCATAAGTAAAGAGTTATGTAATTAAAATAATAAATTTAAATATTTTACTATGTAGTAATTAAAATCATACAGTTTCTTGAATGCGTAATGTCTGCGAGACTTGTGTAGTGATTATAAGCGTATGTGTGATAGAGAATGTATCCTCGATAGTATGTAAATACGATACAAATATGGGAGTGTTGAAGCAGGGGAACATGCGCCCGACCTCGGTACAAGCGCCTTATCGTCTGACCTGTCAGGAACGCGAGTTTGATACATGTCATGTCAAAAATAATAGGGAATTTATAATACTAAGAAATTTTTATATGTATCGTAGTCTATGTTTGTAAGTTATGCAGCTGGTGGGTAGCAGTGGTCACCAAAAGAGAAATAAAATTATTATTGTTAATGATAATATTATAGACAGGGGTAGCCGGCCCTTGTATCTTTGTAAAATTCAGCTTTGTTTATTATTTTCTGCCTTTCGGGTTTTAAAATTCAATGTGTTAATTTATATTAGAAAATTATCAAAATTAATGTGTAGCAAATATATATTATGGCTGGCGACCCTTATAAGAATAATGTTATTGTACCGATCGTGCACTTCATTTTTTCTACTTGACTAGGTTAATGTAGCTGGATCGTAAACGTAGTCAGTATATTATATATGATACGCTTGCCGCATTATGATGCCAAATAATAGATCACAAAGTGAAAGAATGAGTGTAGTGGTGCAGTCGACAGACTTCCCCAATCCAGCCACATTACTGCGCTATACGTTAGTGTTGCTTCGTAGTTCCTATTCCCTCTAACTGTTACTGGGTGACTTCCTGACTTCCTCTCTATTGTTGTGTATGTCGCTGCTACTTCTTATGATTCTTATATTTCGTTATCTAACGTTGACTAGTGACGCCTACGTAAAACTCGTTCATTGCAAACCTCCTTAGGTATCTAACTTATTTTTCAAATATTAGGAACTATACTCGGAATTTTAATTCGATTCCAGATTTGACAATTTCAGTGTGGCAACGTTATGACAAGTACTAAATAGTGACGTTGCGAAATTATTCGATATGGAAATGAAATATTTCTGGATCGATTCTTCTCGTTTATAATAATTATAATTTTACTCTCGTGAGCTAAGTTTATCAGGAAATTAAATATTTCTGAACCGATAATTTAGTTTTGACGATTAATTAACGATCTGAGGCGTTTCTTTTATAATTGTGTGTGAAATAAAAAATAAATGAAATCATGAAGCAACATGACAAATAAAGCAGATAGATGTATTATGGTAATAAGTTATTTTATAAATTGTCGCCGTCATCGCTATCGCTATCCTGTCACTTTCTGTAACATTTATTATAAAACACACACACTGATTGTTTATCGATTTTTGTGTGCATCACTACACTATTATATGTGGTATCATTATTTCACAAAATGACAGTAGCTATTGTCAAATCTGGAATCTAATTAAAATTCTGACTATAGGATAAATCATTGATTTGAATATTACTATTGTAGTGCATTTTGTTTCATTCAAATGATGTTTGATGTCGCTATTTTAATCAGTTTTCTCTACAGAGTTTTTATGTATTTTGTCTGTTTACATGTTGCGGCAACATAACTGTGATTTACGAAATGCTATCATCTTTATTAGGTAAAGTATACCATGATGATGGCAGTAGTATTGATATTATTGTTATGTTTAGATATCTGCCTTGTAGATATTTGATGACTAGAACAAAGAATCTGCTGATTAAAATGGATTATAGACATTATGATATTATTTAAATCTAAATTAGGCAAAAGAAATAACTGTCTGACACAAGCTAAAGGACATGATATAGAATTATGTCATTGTCAGTTAAGGTGAATAATGAGGTAACCAGCCAGGTAAACCAAAGAAAGTGACGAACTTGTGTCCTCGTCTTCTCTATTGTCTACCTGCCTCTTCAGTGGAGGCTAGACGAATTATCCATTTGAAGTAATCAAATAATAATTTATGTATTGTAAAAAATGTCTAGTGCAGCGATCATTAGTTGTGCACCGCGGCCCGACAGGCCGTATTTTTATTTAGCGCTTATATTGTTGATGAATAACTAATATAATTCTTAGATAGATAAGTTATTATTTATAAATAATGAATTTATGATGTAAATGAAGTTATTGTTAGACATTCTCCACTGCTTTCGTAACAGCTGTCTAGTTGAGTACATAAGGATGTTATGTTACAAAATGTGCTTTATACGTAAGTTTTAATTCCTAAGTAGAAGTTGTGCAGTGGACGTCAATTTAAATTTCATGTTAAATTTTATTCTCTTCATATTACACAATGATGTATATAATCATATGAATGCCGATAGTGACCGAATAAAGTTTTGAATACAAAGATATATTTTTATAAAACCGTCGTTACTTTTCCGAATACTTTTATAGGACGCATTTTATATTCCTTGTGAAATATGAAGCGATGGGATTGCAAAGGATTGGAACTATGATTATTATGACAGTATTGTTAACGGCTATTTTCCTAAGTAGCGGTGTTATGAGACTTAATAATTTATTTTAAATAAATGCGGGCCGCCACACTGCCCTAATATTAATCAGTAGTGATCGAGAATTGGGTGAAATATAAAAAATGAAGTATAACTTGTGTTTTAATTATTTATTACACTGGTAAAAACGTTAATTAACCTTAGGTATTCATTATTTATTAGGAATAAACTTGCTTTTCCATAAACTGTTCTATAGCCATAAATATTAGAACGTATTATATTAAACTGAGCAGTCTATGCATTTAAAATAATTCTATGAATATTTTACAATAGAATAGTGAGTGATATCAACCAATGGTTACGTTATGATGCAGTTTGAGATAGTAGAGCTGTGCTTGCGACTCTAGTTCCTGAAGAGATTTCACTACTGGCGCCATCTGGCTCACGTGGTCCTGTAAATTATAGAAGTGTTGATGACACACTATAACTATACAAACCAAAAGACAATTAGTAATTATCAATAAACAAAATATTGGTTTAAGTTGTATGCGAGTCGTCTAATCAGTCACAATACACGAAATACGTATTTCACTTCACAGCACTAAATCACGCATATTAGAATGTTATGGTTTGTTGATATTTATTTCGACCCAACTTAAAAAAAAACGTGATATATTGATATCTTTGTTTATATTAAACAGTTACATAATGCTTACCTGATATCCAGTGCCAGTCTGCCTCTTCTTCTGTCCGTACACAACTTTACCGTCGAACTCGTTAGCGGGCACCTTCATGTCGGTCGCAATCTGCTGAATCGTGATCGTCAGATGGTCCTCTATGTCGGCCAGATACTGTAAAAATAATAAAATATAGAATTTATTTAAATTTTTTTAAGGAATAAGTACGCTATTTGCAATTATGACGTCACAACACAATTTATGTCGTAAAATCATAGACAAGTAATTGTACTGAATTTGACTAGTTGAGACTACCCTATTTATTATTAGATCCTGTTTTACCGCTTGCTATTGATTTCAGTATAAAAAATAACTTTGCTTGGATTGTGAAATAAAAAAGAAAGTAAATTATGTAATATACTATTAAAGTAACTATGTAGTTACTTCAATGAAAAAAAAAACCAAGGTATACCCTTTAGGAAAGACAGACTCTGGCAAAGAATTGCAGTAGGCACAAAATGAATTGTGTAATAATGTAAATGCGATTGTAAAAGTAATTAAACAAAATGGTTACCTGTGGTTCATTATACCACATGCAGCAGCCCCGGGGGTGGTCGTCCGTGAGGTTCGTGTTCCAACAGTTACGGCCGCGGGACGAGCACCACTCGCCGTGATACCACACCTAGGAAGAGGCAAGTTGTTACACTAAGACACGCTACTGAAATATGTTATCTGGTTTGACAGCAACAAAATAATCGCTCATAATAAAAACAAAAAGAAGTACATATTTGTTTTTATTTGACAGCAACCTATTTAGTAGTATTTACCTTCTCGGGTACAGTGGATACGAGACTGATAGCAAGACCCATACGTTCCGCACGACCGACACGACCGATGCGATGCACGTAGTTTGATTTCTCGTCCGGCAAAGTCACGTTGATCACTGTTAAAGTACATTTTTTTATTTAATAACAAGTTTTGTTCAAATGTAGTGCGCGCGTGCTTTTATGTGTGTAATATTAAAGTAAACTTACTGAATGGCAGTCCAGATATATCAATACCCCTGGCGGCAACATCAGTACAGATCAGGAATTTGACTTGGCTAGACTTGAACTTCTCCAAGTTGCCTTTACGTTCAGCTGGCTTGCGGTCACCGTGGAGGCAGACACAACTAAACTCGCTACCGTACGACTTTAGGTACCTTTCCATGTTATCACAGTCTAACTTTGTGCGGCAGAAGATTATGGCTCTGTGAACAAAAATATGTTAAGTGGTGTGGTAAGCGCGACTGACGAAAAAGGAGTATAGTACCCGATTAGGTGTATGGTTTTAAGCTAAGATAATTATCAAAATGATTTTGAGGCGAGATTTTGAGTAGATACCCTTACCTGTCCATCTTATGTTCCTTTATGGCACGTACGCAGTACTCTCCCTTGAGAATCTTGATGGCCTCCGACAGTGTCTCTGGAGTTGTGTTACCGCTGCGGATGTTGTCCTTTGAGTGGACGCCGTCTGTCTGCACGTGCCTGTAGGGATGAATTCTTTTAGTCTTACCGTTTGAATCAATTTGTAAAAAAAATACTCCTTACCAGTTAGTATTTTAGCCTGCAGACTTTTTTGACTTCGCCTAAAGCTTTCACTTACGTAATACTTTCATTAACGTAAACTTACTTGTGCAGAGTCTCCCATGAGCGGTCCTTCTGCGGGTCCACATTGACGACCACGTGGTGCACGGTCTCTGGCACTGAGTCCTCCCCTTTCAGATCTACCCACGTCGGGAAGTGCATCAGTTTCTCCTGGGAAATTGATCAATTAATTTAAAAAAACGGAGTATATAAATTAAACATGTTTATTTTTACAATAAGCACTGTTATGCACCTCCTTAGAACCCTTCGAGAAATTTAAAAATGTTCTATAATAAATAAATGTCCTTACCGCCATCTTCTTAACTTCAAAAGCGTGTAGAGTAGCTGAACAGACAACCATTTGCAATCGACGTCCATCCGAGGTGATCTTAGGAATTTGTCTGTGAAGTCGCTCAATCAGTTCACCATAGCCTGCCTTCAGCAGACCATCAGCCTCATCCAGTACGAAGAATCGACAGTGAGTCAATGCTAAGTAACCTGCATGCCATGCAACAATTTGTATAATATATTTTTTTCAGTCAGTTATACAATGGAAGGTAAGGCAGAACTGAGAAGTGGCCCCTCTAAAAATTATAGTTTTGTAGAAAAAAATATAAACCCTAAAACATTGGTAAGTGTAATCACATTGGATGAGAACTTGGATATGGAAGGCAAACAAATCCTACATCATTAAAAATTACGAAATGAATATCAAAAGAACAAGTGATGATTACCTCCTTGGATTAAATCTTCCAATCGTCCCGGCGTGCCGACAACAATGTCTATACCAGCATTGAGTGCATTGATCTGATCCTTCACATTTATGCCTCCTACTACCAATAACTCGCGAATCTTCGGATTCTCTAAGTACTTCTTAAATTTCGTTATCTGGGTGCAAGTTTGCTCTGCTAATTCTCTTGAGGGCTGTGGTGACAAAATATTAAGCATATAGATAGATAGCAAGGGCCTTATTGGGTCTTGGGTCATAGTTAGGGATAGATAGTTATTGGGTCTGGTGTATAATAAACTGTTGATAAGCTCATTCCCTATTTGATGGGAGTTCATTTCAGAGTTCAGCTTTTCTAGTGGTCTCTATAAAGAGGTGTTGAAATATTATTTAAACAAAATCTTATTGATATCACTCACCTCAATAATGATACATCTAGGTGCATTGTTGGCTGGTGTGGCTTCCACCGCACTGTCTGATGATACTACATTCACTTTCATACAGTCTTTGGGGGCTGCTGCAATGGCTACATATTCTGCAGGTGGTGGATACTGAAAAGACATAGATCAGTTTATTAACAGAAAGTTAAAATATCTACTTAAAATATCTATTTAAGTAGATATTTTGCATAATATTTAAGTAGATACATTCCATATACGTAGATATTTTGCATATATTGCATATTTCATTTTAATTGATACACTGGATGTGCCTTTGCCGGAAGGTACCTTAAATGGTGTCTTTCCAAAATTGAAGCTCATCTCAGCATTTTTAAGTACAACAGCTGGGAAGTAGCACTCTCCACGCCTGTTTGGGTCTATGCTGAATGCAACTCCAAGGTTTACTCCATTTTTGGTGTAGCTTATTTCACCAGTGTTCAGATTTAGTAGACACCCTGTAGAACCATAGAAAGTAATGATATAAAATTCATAATCACTGGAACATTTTCATTTCACCAAAAACCAACGTTTTGCTTATTGAGAGCAACTCTCTTTATTGAATATTAAAATTTTCAATAAATGAATGTTGAAAATTTTTATATTGTCTATATGAATATTTATATAGCAACTGGCTTACCTATAACATCATGCATTCCGTATGGTTCACCATAGTCATTAAAGTTTTTGTTATTTGACTTCTTGCCTGTGCCTCCAAAACCAAATCCCATTCTATCAGTACCAAGGTCCAGCCTTGCCTGAAAATATTCAGATTATTTTTACTATTCCCTAAGCATAAAAGGCACCACAAAATTATATTTGTTTATAAAGATATTCTTTTAATTACCTATAGCAAGTATCTAATATAATTATAAAATGATTCAGAACAACAAAATATGGTGCAATGTATCAGAAATTATTTTATAAATATACAATGGCAATTATGGATATATTAACAAGTTTTTATTTGTGTGTGACAATTTTTGTATTTATTCTAATATAACTTACAGCCTGTGTAGACCAGCCCACGCGGCAAAGACCCTCGTCTGTGACAGTGGCCTCATAGTAGTAGGCACCCTTGCTGTGCACACCTTTAGTTGCCCTACACCCATGCCAACCTTTCTGGTCACGGGATTGACACCTCAGACCGTCTGGAGTGACCGCCAGAGCATCATTGCGGTCGAAGAACGACATAGTCAACTCTGTTGAGATCGTCTGTATTATCTTACTCGTTTTCCCCTCTTGTATATCTTTCAACGTCTCCCAAACTATCTGCAGGATTGGTAAGCAGAAAGCTCCAGTCTTGCCGCTACCTGTCTCTGCCGCCATGAGCACATCTCCACCACCTAAGATGAGCGGTACGGCTTCGGCTTGAACATCTGTTGGCAGTGTCCAGTCCATCTCCTCAATCGCCTTCCCCAGTTCGGGGAGGACACCAAACTCTTCAAACGCAGTCATTTGTCAAGGTTTGCCTACAGCCTTAAAATTAAAACCTGAACTAACACAAATACTTTTAATCACCGGAGCACCGGAGTATTGAGATTGAGAAAAATATGAAGCAATACCAATAGAAATTCTATGCTTTGACAATGCAATATTTGACATTTGTTTAACCTGACAGTCTGTCTATTGAGCTGTTGGTTTTCCGTCAATATCGGTTCATGTTCATGTATTAAAAACTAATAAGTAGATTTAATACTTATAAATGCGTTTGGTTACAAAACTTCAAGATTTTATTGTTGTTTCTATTTCCGAGCATTAGTGATAAACAAACTAAACGTTGAAAAATGAGGTCAGTTTTCTGTCAAAGTCAAATTGACAGTCTTAATTGTCAGGCACCAAATAACCTAACTTCCCGGTTATGGAAATGTTATTTTTATACAAATAGTTTATTCATAAGAAAAAATGGAATTAGAATTACTCCAAAATTCTGAAACAAAAAAACCTTCAAAGCTATCGTCTACAGGAAAAGCATTAATTTATGTCACTGGTGGTCTAGCAGTCGGAGTTAGCGTTATTTGTGTACCTTTTGTGGTACCAGCACTAAGGAAAATATGTTTACCATACGTTCCTGCAACCACTGAACAACTTCTTGGAGTTAGCAAAGCATTAGCTGGTCGTAAAGGGAGACTATTAGACGTTGGTTCAGGAGATGGGAGGATTGTGTTTACCGCTGCTAAACTAGGGTTTCAAGCCGATGGAGTAGAATTAAACCCATGGTTGGTGTACTATTCACGGATTGCAGCTCTACTAAACCCCGTGTATAGGGGTAGCAAGTTTTACAGACGCGACCTGTGGAAGTTTGACCTGAAGCCATACAATAACATAGTGATATTTGGTGTGGAACAAATGATGGATGACTTTGAGAAGAAGTTGATTACAGAGACCAACAAGGACACTGTAGTAGTGGCTTGCAGGTTTCCTTTACCCAATATGGTACCTGTAGAAACAATAGGTAGTGGTGTAGACACTGTCTGGAAGTATGTTGTTAAAAGATAACAAGAAACTATAAACTTACATAGCTTTATTATTTATTAGTTAAGTTATATACACTGTAGTTAGTAAATAAATTATATAATATCTAGAAGCGGCCACTTCTTTTCCTGCCTGTATATTTTGTATCAGGTTTAGTATCTTTGCCTTGTTTTCTCCTCCTTTCTTTTTTCTCCATGATCCAAGCTTTAGTGTTTTTGACTGGTTTGCCTCTGATATTTCTTGTAGCTTCTCTCTTAGAATATTTAACTTGAAGATTATTGTCAGTTTCATCAGTACCTAACATAAAAGAGACAGTACAATTAAAAATGAGTGTATATACAGAATTTTTAAATTGAATACTAATGCATATTCAAATGTGGGACAACCATGCTTCGGCACAAATGGACCAGCTCAACGGGAGTGATAGTTAACAGAGGCCCAATTCTAATACCCTACCTAATCTCCCCAATCCTCAATAATCCTTAAATTCCTAATCCTTAAAAGCCGGAAATGCAGTGGTAACACCTGATGTTTTGGGAGTCTATAAGCGGTGCCTATTGCTTACCATCACATGATCTATCTGTTCGTTTAAAGGCTTGTCCCAAAAAAAAATATCTTCCAAATAATTCTGAATAACTGTTATTACTAAAAAAAATTTAAGTAGCAACATGAAGAAATTGAGAATATTTACCTAGAGCTTGAGGTAGTGGAGCAGATCCACCAGTCATTAGAACCAAAAAGAACTTCTTTGCTTTGGCAGAATTTGGAAAATCTACCACTACACCTCCATAGAAACCAGCTTTCATTGCTTGTGAGGTTACAAGGTCCATTTGACTTTCATTCTCAGGGTAAAACTGGAACACTGCTCTGGCTGACCTGGACTGAAGAAAAAAAACTAAATTAGCACATATTGTTGTAGATCTTAGTTTGGTTTATAGGTAGAATTTAGAAGAATAATTAAATAAAATAATTTACTTACCAGGCAAGCATATAGAGAACTAAAAAACTGATGTAATCTTTTGACAGGGTTGTGTGACTTCTTATCAGCATTGAAAAGCCACTGTAGGGCTGACACTGAGACTGCTCCATCAAAGCATCCTGCTTTGAAAGGTACACCTTCACCCATGTCTGAGAGTACCAAGTCACCTTCTGTTTCTCTTTCTTTAGCTACATCTGGAAGAAAATAAGAAAAAATATTGGTCAGTGGTTATCCTTAGGGATCTAAATCAATTTACTTTAACGCATTCACTGCCCAGTGGATTTTCTCCAGTGCCCGAATTATAAGACATTCTACAGTGCCCCGCACGCACTATTGCGTTCAATGTTTGCCCTTTTCGTGTGCCGGAAACTCATATACGCGTTCTTACGGCTCTCACCGTGTGCCCGAAACTCGTATATGCGTCCGTTCGACTCTCGGCGGGTGCCCGCGACGCGTCTGTGCGTTTGTTATATACTTACAGAAATACGATAGAATATTATGTATCTGTAGATAAAAGTTAGGGTGATGACACACTGCAATGGAATTTATGATTCCAAAAGATAATTTATGTAGAGAAATTGAAAAATTTATCCAATCTTTCAGACTTCAAAAAATTTAGTTTCTTAGTTTGACCTGTATGTATGTTTGTACGCGATTGTCTCGCGATTGATTGAACTGATTTTAATGACGTTTTTAGAAAAGCTTTTGTTATACTTAGGGAAAAGGTATATTAATAAGTTTAGATTTCTTGGAAAAACAATTAGGTATCTAGGTAGATTTTGGTTTTAGCTCTCGTGGTATTTAAAATCTTCAAAGGCACCGCCGTGCATTGTATTGCCGTTATCAGCAAACTAATGTGATTCTATTGTGCGTATGTAGATAAGAGTCATATGAAATATAAGGTTTCTTGGAAAAACAATTAGGTATCTAGTTAGGTAGATTTTGGCTTTAGCTCTCTTGGTATTTAAAATCTTCAAAGGCACCGCCGTGCATTGTATTGCCGTTATCAGCAAACTAATGTGATTCTATTGTGCGTATGTAGGTACGAGTCATATGAAAGTTTAGGTTTCTTGGAAAAAGATGAGATAATCGAGATAACATTGAAAAAAAAATACCACCCACGGTGATCGTAGTCTTACGTGGATAAAAAAGATAAATTATATTTTTTCTAAATTGTTCTATATTTATATTTCGAAACGGCTAAACAAAATTTGTTGATTATTGCATTGGTAGTAGTAGAATAAGTTTTTTTATAATTCGTATGTAGTGTGTAATGACCTTTATCAAAGAAATCAGATAAGGAAGTACATATGTGTAAATATGGGTTTCGAAACAATAGACCCTCGGACGCGTCGACGGGCAGCAGGTAAAAAAAGGGTCAAATGAATAGAACGCATATTTGAGTCCCGGGCACATAGCGTCGTGTCACAAAACGCACAGACGCGTCATGGGCACTGAATGCGTTAAGACAGAAAAGATCAGTTACCAAGCATAGCCGGTGAAATATCCATGCCAATCCACATATGTCCACTTTCCTCCAGCACTGTACCAGATAAACCTGAACCACATCCTATGTCCAAAAGCAAACAGGGGGTATCCTCAGGCAGTAGGAGTAACTCTAAACATCTCTCTGTCATCTGTGCCTGAATGTCCATAATACGCGAGCTAAAAATAGAAATTGCCAGTGTTTAGTATATTACAACACGGAATTTATAATTTTCTTAGATAATTAGTGAACTATACTCACTTTTGTGTATATTTTCGGGCTTCGTCTTCATTGTAGAACTGAAAATAACAAAAATGATTTAGGTAAACAAAGATGTATTATAATTTTTAGTTTTATAAAAGACTCAAATGGTAAAACATTATCTTACCACTTCAGGTGGTGCTTGATGTTCCGGTCTTTTAGACATGATTATGAGTCAGGTTTTAATAGCAAAGGCGCAAGTTTTCAATAATAAAAACAAATTCACACGAGACCTAACCTTAAATTTGGAAGTCGAACGTCAAGTCGTCAATAGTTTACTTGACATTGACACTTGACAGTATGGGTTCTGAAAGAAAATTAGTGTCCGTTGTGTTGGTAGACAGTGCAAAAACTGCATTCCAAATGAAAATTATTGTTGTATTAGTCGATTTTTTCAAGAAAATTAGATAGGACACCACTAGTTTTCAACTGTCAATGTCATAATAGCGCGGGAGTAGAACGAGGGTTTATTTTTATTTACTTCCAAGCTGATCTTATTTTATTTATTTATCCTATTTATCGTATCTTATTAATTTTCGTTAAAGTCTCTATAACTCTAGATTCTTTTATTGTAATATGCGGAAAACATTAAGCCTTAAGAAGGTACAACCTTTGGTTATTTCTTAGCCTTTTTAAGTGTAATTAGAATATTTGATTTACTTTACCTTTTTATTTTTATTAGGCAGGCCCTTCAAAAAATCAAAAATCTATTACGGACTTCCTAAAGAGTGCTAATAATGGTACCAACCAGAGCCAAAAACCGCTTGCAGCTGATAAAAAAGATTCCGTACAAGAAAAAATTACTACTGATAACAAAACTGCCAAAAGAAAGGCATCTCTGATTATTGATGATAACGACTTTGAAGTATTTGACGAAAATCCAAATCATGGAAGTTTTAAGAATACTCCAAAAAAAATTAAGACTGATAATAAAATTGAATCACCATACTTTAGAAATAGCCCAAAGAAGAGATCACCTAATAAAGAAAACATTTTCACGAAAACAATATCTCCTAAGAAGAATCTGATGACAGATTTTGATGGATCTTGTAGTAAGAATAGTAAAGAGTCTGATAAATCATCACCTAAATTGGGAAAAATTAGTATGACCCCACCAAATGCTGAGAATTATATAGATAATGTATCACCTAACAAAACTAATAATAGTGTCAATGACAAATCATGTATATTTCAAAATGGAGATAAAGTAGACCATAAAACAGGGGTTATTACCCCGAAAAAATTGTCACCAATAAATAGTAATGGCCATGTACCTAGTCCGAAGTTAGGAAGGAGCAAAACACCTAAGAAAAGTCCACTGCAAGGTATGTTCTTAAAGAATTAATTAAAAATCATACATTTGAAGTTTGAACAATTTTTTAGGGGGAAAATCATGACTTCTACCGCCTTGGTTGAGGCGAGAGGTGAGTGTCAGGTTCTTACTGATTAAAAACCAACCAGTTTCTATTTAGCTAGACAAAAATTTTGTTTTAACTTTGTTTTATGTGTAAAACTGCAGATAAAAGTATTACATTAATAATCTAAAACTTGCTTAATTTCATTTGCTAAGGATACACCAATGAGGTAAAATTTAAAAATATAGTATCATCTTTATTCTTTCTTCTATTATCTTTCAGAGTTCTTTTGCTCTCCAATAAATATACTGTCAACTCCAGAGAAGATTCTCACAGAGATATTATCTCCATCTAAAAGTGGTTCCACTGTCAAAGTGCTAGATTTTGGTACAGAGGAGCTCTGTGAGGGCTTTGGAGATGAATGGGACCTTAATGATATGGAGGAGGTACAATAGTAATTATATCTTTAACTTTTTATAGTGCTATGTAACATTACATCACACTTTTTATTTACTGAAGAGTTGTTAGCAGTGTTGTGACTCATACTGTAATGCCAATGCCAATGTTTGAAATTGTAATGACTCATAGTACCATAAAATACAAGTGGATTGTTATTTGATACAAATTCTATTAGTTCAAAACAAACTATTTTATTAACTTTTATGCTGTTGGCATATAGTTGCATACCCTTTAATTTATATCATGCACAAGAAAATACACATGTCCTGTTTCAAGAATAAGGTTTTTTGAAATGAAGTATTCTAAACAGCTGTTTATGTGTGTCTTGTTTATATGTATAAAAGGTGTTTGAAAAATATTACAGGATGGCATAGAAAATTTAGATTTGAGTACAATGCAGCGCTGTGAGATATTGAGTGCTAAAAATGTTACAAATAGAATAGAATTAAAGTTAAAGAGTGGTGATGACAAGAGAGCTACATGTTTTGTGGAAGGATTCTGGTGAGAAATTTTTAGTTGGCTTGTCTATAGTCCAGCTAGACCTTGACTATACTTGTAGAGGTATTTAATTAATTCCTTGAATTGCTATTAAAAAATATTACTGACTTCTAACCAACTTAAATAGATGATATCCTGTTTCAGAATACAGCAACTGTGCATCATATTCAGTGAATAAAATATCATATTTTTATTATTTGTTACAGGATAGACACTCCATTAGTTCCAGGCGATATAGTCAGTATATTAGCCTCGCGGGATTCCTCAGGGCACTACATTGTGACCAACACATCTGGTCTCCTCGTCTTACGACCCGACCACTTGATATCCAGCACTAGTGTTGTTGCAGGAGTGTTTTGCAAACGTAAGGCTGTGCTGCAGGAACGATGGAGAGGAATTGACTCCGCTAATATGGCTGTAAGTGTCTATTTACATACATCATAATTATAATGTTGAACCTGAAAAGTCAAGAAGAGATACCTACATTATTGTAACACTCACGTATTCGTTAATTAATATTTTTGTACGCAATGCGTAACATAGTCTTACTTATCGTAATCTTATCGACATTGTGATGACAACAATTTTATCTAAAACGATACGCTTCGTGTATCACAGTACGAGTTTCTTTTTCGTTTAAAGTAATCGTAACGAGAACGCTGGCGAGGTACGAGGCGCTGTGATTGGCCGGCTCTAATAAACCAACCAATCAGAACACAGAACGCCGTCTCGTTTCGATTACTTTAAACGAAAAAGAAACTCGTACTAACGCCTCTGTTTGTACATGTCTCCCTTTTATGTTAATTAACTGGATAGTCAAATACCTTCATAATTTCCATAGAAGTTTTGAAGATAGAAAAATGAATAACTTTCCTCGACCCGGGAATTAAACCCTAGGTACTATTCTTTCTCGCCAACTTTTGACTATTGGACCAACGACAAAAAGGTCAGTCAATATTTATACAAACAATATTTGGTTACAGATGACAACAGGAATATTAATACACGAACTGGTTCAGAAAGCTCTGTCTGACAAGATCACGGCGACAGATCGCCTTCGTTCAGTGACGGACGATATTATAAAAGAGTCAGTTGAGAGGCTGTTCGATGCTGGACTGAGTGAGGAGGAGGCGAGGAATGCTGTGTACAAGTATATACCGCCGCTAGCTGACTTTATGAACACTTATGTAGCAGATAAACCACCTACTGTGGCGGTAAGGTCAACTTGAACTTCTTCTGGCTAAGTCATTTTACCTGTAGGCCTAGTCTGTCTACTGTAAGTTTAGAAGTGTGTAAGATAAAGGATGTTAACGATGGTGTCCATTTTTGCTTTAATTTTTCCTCTATTCACATTCATCAATAAAGTTACAATAGCAACATTGTTAATGTTAGCAATAATAATAACTCCAATAAAATATCTTTAGTTTTGATATGAAATTTTCAGAATGTAAAGACAGATAAAAACAATTGGTCAGGACATATTGATAAGATATTGGACATTGAAGAGAACCTGTGCTGCCCGAAACTAGGGCTGAAGGGAAAAATCGATGCCACTGTACAAGTCACTATACACGAAAGAAATGGTAAGAATATAAATAATTATCATAAACTGCCTCGTTGGCCGAGTGGTCGCAAGTGGGACTGCCGGGCCCTTGCCCGGTCGCACTTGGTCTCGGGTTCGCTTCCAGGGTCGGACAAAGTATTACTTGGTCTTTAAAAATCTCAGCAGTAGCCCGGAGTCTAGAAATGTGCCCGGTAAGGCTTATCTCCTCTTACATGGGACTCATAACATAAATAGTGAAAAGTGGGTGTGTACATTGTACAGTGGCATTAAGTGCTGTAATGTGCTCCTCTGCCTACCCCTGCTGGATAAAAAGGCGTGATGTTAAGTTATGTATCAAAAACTCTGACACTGTGGTATAAAGTCCATGTTTGATTGATAACAGAAACTACCAAACTATTTATTTGATCATGCAATAATGATACCTTAAGTACATTTTTACTTTACAAGTATTGTTACTTAATTCAGGTCGTAAGAAGGCCGTAGTTCCCCTCGAGTTGAAGAGTGGCAAGGCGTCCATGTCGGCGGAGCACCGCGGCCAGTTAGTGCTGTACGGTATGATGCTCAACTTGCAAGCTAATGAGGATCCCACCCAGGCCGCCCAGCGAGGCTTACTGCTCTATCTAAAGTAACTATACCCGTTAATTCTTTTGAATTAGGTTCGTTGCGCGCGCGCTGGTAACGGTACAGGGTGTTAAAAAATAATATTAAAACTTAAAATACGTTTTACCTAACTATTAATGCTTTGCAGTTCTGTGGCTATAACTTTCATATTTTTGTAGACAGTGTCATGATACTCTTGTCTATCCTTTCCGAATGCAATTTCAGAACAAGAGGTTTTAGGCTTTATTAACACTTTCGGGTCCATGAGCGGCGCCGATTGCTTACCATCAGGTTATCCGTCTGCTCGTTAACCTGCGTATCCCATATAAAAACACTAAGATTAAGAAACGTTTTCATTTGTGCAGGGATCGCGTTGACATTCGTGAAGTAAGCTGCGGTTACCCCGAGCGTCGAGATCTGATCATGTTACGCAACCAACTCGTACAATACGTCACAGCGTCGCCTCAAGACATCGATCCAGGTACACTTACACCTCATTATTGTAACTTTAGTAAACAGAATTATGAGAGTAAATTCTTGTGGAATATAAAATATACTAGCTTCTACCCGCGACTTCGTACGCGCAATCCCATTTTCCCCCCGTTCCCGTTCGTGATTTTCGGTAAAAAGTAAAAAAAAGTATTCTATAAAAAGTATCCTATGTCCGTCTCCTGGTTCTAGGCTACCTCCCTGCCGATTTTCATCTAAATCGATTGAGGCGTTCTTGAGTTATAAATACTTAGTGTAACTAACACGACTTTCTTTTATATATATAGATAACATAAGTTGAAGTTCTGTGCGCTTTTTGGACAAATATATTCCCTCACGCACTCCACATGCTGATGACAATGATCACTTATCATCCAGAATCTGGATCATCTGGATTCCAGATGATCTGCTTGCTTGTTGGTTCATGTCCCATAGAGACTGTATGCTTATTCTTCGAAAACCATACTTGATTACTACATTATATAAAAATATAACAACACATTCATATTCGTTTTGTTCAGAAAATTTATTGGACATAGAAGAAGCGGCTCTCATGCTGCACCAGAAGCTCCCGGAGCCAGTAGACCACCACAGCGCCTGCACCAAGTGTCCATACCTCACTCTCTGCTCATTGCATCTCTGGTAAGGACAATTTATAACTGATGATTTAACTTACATGTTTGTAAGGCCCAGTTATGTTTTGAATTATTGTTGTCATTGACCATTATGAAAAAATATGGTTTATTTTTAGGAAAGTAAGTAAGTACCTAACTTATTTGGGATTAAGATAAAATTAATGTGTTTTAAAAAATTGATGATGAAGTGGTTTGTGATAGAGGTTGACGCAACCTTTTGCATTTACTATTCAGACTCCTTAGTTTGAATAGTACATTACTTGTAATGGAATACGAAATATAACATCTAATGGTAAAATTTTTCACATACTTTTTTATTCCTAGGCACACAGACGGTCCGACAGTGTCAGAATCCCATCCGCTCTCCAACTTGCAAGGTGAAGCATTAGGACATCTCTCACCGCAGCACATTCAGTACTTCTTACATTGGACGGCGCTGCTCCGGATGGAGGAGAGAGGGCAGATGGTGACGTCACCTCTACACGCACTCTGGACTGATAGTGTTGAAAAGAGGTGAAAAATATAAATCTTTCTTTTACACACTTTCAGATACAATAAGATTAAAATTCGCGTAAATATCACGTGCCTACATATACAATACAATTACTAACTTGGTGTTAGTTATTTGATACATTGAAAAGATGTGTTCAAAGTGGGTCATAATTAAATTTGTCTATTATCCTTAGTTTTTAATAAGGAGATAAGTAAGACTAGTCCTTTTATTAATATTTTATAGGCCTAAGTTCCCTTTGCCTGTGGCAATTATCATCATATATCAGATTTAAGGATAGCCATACGGATTTTGTCAATTGGTTCGACGTATTTCTCATATTTTGCTCAGTAAAGTCGTTCTTCGCCTCTGTTTGTAATATGTGATTGTTAATATCCTCACCTAAATAATGTTATTTACATATCGCAGAGAGAAGCGTGGTACCTGCGCTGCTAATCTGAAGCTACTCGCAGTCACTCACTTAGAAGACAGATATCTGCATGTGTTTCGACGAAATATTGGTGATAATGGTAATATGTGATAATGTTATACTATTCATTTTAATTATTGAATATGATTTCATGGTATCATAGGAGCAACCGTTTCGTATGGTGAATCGTCCCTTTTTAAAACAAGTGTCGCCTTTACCGTTTCTCTAATTACAAAATTAATAAGAAACCAATAGGAACTTTGCTAGATCAGGTAAAGCTACGATGAATACATAAATAAAACATGTAAATAATAGTCTCTATTTTTATTGAACGTAAGAACTATTTTCCGTTATAAATAGATTTTCTAATATGACCATCTATTATTTATACAGGCGATGCAGATGTAAAGATGCCAAAAGGTCCACAAGAAGGAGAGTTCTCAATAGTGAGCATCAAGGACCGACCGTGGATCGCAGCCGGAGTAGTTACCGTCGCGAACAACAAAGAAATACATATATTTTTAGAAAGGTAAAATATGACTGTTCTAATTACGGTTTTATGATTTTTTAATCTACACTAAACACAATAAAACGATAGAACATGTTATAACTAGAGACGGGAGATATTTGGGATAAATACCTGTTATTTTTGTCAAAGAAAAACAGATATTTTCTCAGTCTTTATCCATTTAGAGAATTAAAAAAAAACTATTAATTTTATTGCGTACGTGCTTACTTTAGCCTAAATCAAGATATCACGTTCAAGTCATGTTTTTTTTGTGTTTAAAAATTTATTACTTTACCTTCCTTTTCGTACAGCAACCGATACTTTAAAGCTCGATTATATATTACAGAAACCTAAGTTCTCGTTTGTCCAAACAAACAGTGTACCACATAGACACATACGAGTCATACGCGACTACAGTGCAGAATCTCACGAATTTGGGTGTTTTGCTTGAAGACAGCGATCGAGCCTACAGACTTCGAAGGTATGTTACGCTGAATTGTAGTTTGTACTTTAATTGTTTAGAGTGAAGGTTGTTTTTCAATCATTTTTAAATTCCAAAATTTATCTCGTAGGTACTAGTAATTAAATTTAAACCGAAGTGTAATGTATGGTTATTAATAAAATTTTCTTAAATAAATAAAAAGTATGCGTAACAAGCTTTGTGCTGGACGAGGTCCGAAGTTCGCACTTTATCCCTCGAAACAGGCAAGTTTTGAATTTGTTTATTTTGAAAAGAGATACAACATAATTTTCAGGTTAATAATAGATAAGGAACTACCTCAATTCGAAGCCAAGTTGCCTCGTGACGTGGGTCGGCTGGGGACGCGACTGATGAAGTCACTGAACATACAACAACAACGCGCCGTACTCAAGGCTATAGCTGCCAAGGACTACGCGCTGATGAAGGGCCTGCCTGGCACTGGTAAGGACATAAAATATTGTAAACATTACGTTTCTTTAACATGTTACACGTCATGGGTCACGGATGACCGACGACCGCGGACTATTTGCCTTCAACCTCTGCATACTCCATTTTTATTAAAATACTTTGTGTTATACCTATTAAAGGGAGAAACTTATTATGATACAAGAATTTCGTTATTGCGACGAGATTTTACTTAAGTAAATGATGATGTTATGTTAGGCGACGCTATTATTTTAACTATGCTTTTGATCATTGATTGATTGCTTTCAGGCAAGACCCAGACAATAAGTGTACTGATACAGATGTTGGTGGCCCTGAAGCAACGCGTCCTCGTCACTGCGCACACGCACTCCGCAGTTGACACTGTACTCAGCAGGTACTTTTATTTCATTCTAAACCTTATTTTAAATTGAGCGTGATAAATCAACCGTGATAAAAGACAATTATTAAGTTAAAGGTCAAACACTTGTAACTCCTCTGGTTTTGCTGGTGTGTATGAGCGACGTCAATTGCTTACTAGTTGATCCGTTTGCTTGTTTACGCCACTATTGCAATACATAGTGTACCATGAGCTTGGATTATACAAAACATATTGTTAGTAGGATTTCAACTTTATAACAAATTGTTTTAAGATGGATTTCCTATATCAAATATTACCATTAGTATAGTACAAGTTTTGTGATATTATATGACACCAGGTTGCCGGCGTCCCTGCGAGTGATGCGGCTGGGGTCGCGGGGCCGCCTGGCGCCCGAGCTACAGCCGCGCAGTGATCTGACTCTCGCCGCGCACTGCGACACTCCGGGGGAACTAGCTGCGCTCTATGATTCCATGGTGAGTTATAAACATAGTCACTTGTTGTTACGAACATAGACATTTGTTTTGGTAGTTGTGTTGTTGTGGTTGTTGGCAGCATGTTGTTGTTGTTGTTGGGGTAGTTTTGTTTTTTAAAATATCAATTAATGCTCCTGATTTGACTGCTGCCAACTCTAACATTACAACAACATGCTTTCTAGAAGATTGGCTAAGGGCCGATTTTTCCAACGCCAGATAAATTTAAACTGAGAAATAACTTTCAATATTTTGGGTTTCTAGATTCTTGTTGTGTGTCGTAACAAAATAAATGGTTTTTCTTTCTTTCTAATATTTGACAATTAGTTCCATACTAAAAACTATTTTATTCTACAATTAAAAATTAACTGATAAATCGGTGCTAAGTAGGTTAAGAGAATAAGGACATATTATTTTAATGGTACTCTTTGTTGCAGGAAGTAGTTGGGGTGACATGTTTGGGCGCCGCGCACGCAATGTTAGCACGAACTACTTTTGATCTCTGCATAGTTGATGAAGCGACACAGGTAACACTGTCAACATATTATTAAAATGTGTTAAAGGAAATACAACCGTATTTGCAGTAATTAAAAGTTGTAAATCCTATTTTTTTAATTCAGGTGTTACAGTGTACCGTGTTGCGACCATTGTTCGCAGCGAAGAAGTTCGTTCTAGTGGGAGATCCTGAACAGTTACCACCGGTAGTGAGGAGCAGAGCCGCGAGGTATACCTAATCTTATAATATATTACTTCTGAATAATAAGCAATATCATAATTAGATCACAACGTTAACAATACAAAAAATGTTAGTAGAAATAATTTAATTTGGTCAAAACACTATAATTTATATAAGCACTTGTAATTGTGATGTGTTTTCATTGTGAAAAGCCGGAGCCGCCTTTGAGTTTAGTGTCTAAACTTTAATTTTTTAAAGTTTTATACTTTCTTCTTTCTAACGCTACTTCTACTACTTTATTTTAAAAACAATTTGACTTTTTTTTATTCTAGGCGCCTAGGCATGGAGGAGAGCTTGTTCCACAGACTGATGTGTGAAGAAGCGACGTCGACTTTACAACTCCAGTACCGTATGAACCAAGCGCTAGCGGACGTCGCCAACCGAGTGGCGTACGACAACCGTCTTCAGTGTGCCGACAGTAATATCGCGCAAGCCCGACTTACTATCGATGTACAGGTAAAGGATATTTGATTGTGGTTAAGCGTATAAGCGCTCTTTTGAGAACTACCAGTGAGCGAGATGCTAGTGTCAGAAAGTACATAACACTATTAAAATAAATACACCAATCATTCTTGATAAAATGAAAGTATGTGAAAAGACAGTTTTATGAGATGGTGTATTTTATGATGGTGTATCTTCTTTATTCTCATTTGTGTACTCGAAATAACTGAAAATGTTATTCATTGAAGTTGTAATTTATTTTCAGAAAATACCTCAATTGTCAATATCTCCGTGGTTGTCAATGGCTTGCAGTCCCGAGCCACAATACGCAGCGATTTTCCTAGATGTGATGTCCCATAATATTGAAGACGCACCCGACGCTCCGAATAAGAACTCCTGTTCAAACCCTATAGAAGCCTGCGTGGTTATAGCGTTGGTGGAAGCTTTGAAAGAGGTACGTTAATTTTTTTTTAGTTTTCCTCAATACATGGCCAGAAACATTGTAAATTATACAACTAAAACATATTTAAGTAATCACACTATCAATACAAAATAAATTTGTACAGTAGCTTTGAGTTTATCACATTTATATTGACAGGTACGAACGGGAACTTTTGTATAATCATTTGAATATGCGAAAGATTCTTAACTCTTGTTTCACAGGGCAATGTCAAGTCCTCAGACATAGGTGTAATAGCTCCATACCGTGACCAAGTGTCACTATTGCGCCGCTCCCTCCAACACCTTGCTGTAGAGGTCAGCACTGTCGACCAGTTCCAGGGAAGGGACAAACCGGTCATTATATACTCGTGTACGAAACGCTCCGGCAAACATGATGATAAGAAGGTTAAGGTAAGCTTTGCACAGGGTCATGAAATAAGTTGTTAAAATATTAACTGTTAAACTATTCATATTAAAACAGTACAATTCTGTAAACCTTCAGTTAGCTATTTCAGCTATTTTTTTTTCTTAAATATATAAAATCCGTTTTCAAAAAGCCTTTGTGTTACAGGAAGGTGAGGTCCTCAACGACCAGCGCCGTCTAGCCGTAAGTGTAACAAGAGCAAAACACAAACTCTTAGTAGTTGGCAACTCCATAGCTTTGCGACGGTATGCGCCGCTACAGAAACTCATACAAACGTGCACCTCTACCCAACTAGACACAAATATTGTAAACAAATTATGTAATAAATATAAAATGTATGTATCCTGACAGTAAAGAAAACTGTAAGTAATAAATTGTTATGTAGGTAATCGTGCCTTAATTTTTAATGATTGTGAATCTCAATTTTAAGTTACGTAATATCATGGTTATTTTTATTTTATTAAATGTATTAATTCATGAATCGTGTTTATTTTTTATATGCAATGTTAGGTCGTGTACTTAATTTAATTGCATGCTTGTAGTAGCTCCCAAATGCATTGCCGGCGACAATGCCGTCTCGTTTATGCCAAGCGGTTATGCCGGCAGCAATAGTAAATAATTAATGTTTTTCCATGCCGGATTCATGACAACTGGCATTTATCATGGGTTCTCATCTCTAAGCCACCGGTAACACAAGCCACACAAAGCCGCCAAGCAGCATTCCGGTTGTCACAGTCACATATACCGCTAGTCAACGAACTGACACTGGCAAGGCGCGTAACCCGACGGCAGCACACTCCAAAGGCTTCTTTGTGCGGCAAAGTAGCACGGCGGCGGCTTGCATTCCGGGGACTGTGTCTACATCAACGTCCTAGGTCTATACTTATACTCTTTGGGCTGTGTATAGGAACCTTTTAACAAACTGTGTATAGACCCAAAAGAAAGTCGAATCAGCTGACGATTTGTAATGAAGTCTTCTTTCAAAATCGACTAAAGTAAGTTAACGACAATGATCAAACTAAATTGAACGCTTCTTTTTTATCCTGGTATTGCCCAAACTGCTGATGCGTCAATGTCAAACAGCTGATAACTTCGATAGATAAAAAATAATTAGTTTGTCAGTGTTATTAGCCGGCTTTGGACCTGTTATTTTTTATTGTAATTTTAATAGCGCATCACTCTATCAGTGTGATGTAATAAAGGTCTTGAACTGAATGAACATTCACCAACATATCAGTGAAAAATAATAAAATTTATTCAATCGGAGGGGTTAGTAGAGGTAAACAGTTTTTAATTTATTTAGTAAGATTGTTATTTTTGTGTTCTAATAAATATCCATAAGTACCCACTAAGTAACCTTGTATTTATAAACTTGATTCGAAAGTAGTATGATTACACATATATAGCTGAAATAAATATTTGTTTTTTGATGACTACTTGCAGAACATATTTTATTTATTACTTAAAAATCACTTGTAGATCTTCAAGATGGTGAAAGCGGTAGCAGTAATCACCATCAGCGACACATGTTTCAAAGACAACTCTAAAGACACATCGGGGCCAGCATTGGCAGACTATGTCAGGGAATTATTCCCTGAGGCGAATCTCCATACAATCATCATTCCTGATGAAAAGGAAATCATAGAAAGGGAGCTCAAATACTTTTGTGACACGAATCTAGATCTGGTGTTGACTACAGGAGGTACAGGGTTGACCCCTAGAGATGTGACCCCTGAGGCAACAAAAGCTATCATACAGAGAGAAGTGCCAGGAATCACTACAGCAATAACTCTAGCAAGTTTGAAGAAGACACCCATGGCCCAACTATCTAGAGCCGTTGCTGGGGTCAGAGAGAAAACCCTAATCATTAATTTCCCTGGCAGTAAGAAGGCAGTAACTGAATGCTTTGAGGTAGTGAAGCCTATCCTACCTCACGCCATTTCCTTGATACACAATGAAGTAGTTGAAGTCAGCTATATTCACAACTCTATGCAGTTCAATCACACTTGTAAGCACAGCAGTAATGTAGATATATCTAAGGTGGCTCTAAGACCCAGGGAGTCTCCATTCCCCATGGTGGAAATGTCAGAAGCCTGGAAGATGGTTGATGATGTGATGTCTGAGTGGACGGAGAGGCTCGAGATAGTGACTATTGAAGAGGGACTTGGCAGAGTTGTGGCACAAACTCTTCATGCTAAGGAACCCATGCCACCATTCCCTGCATCGGTTAAAGATGGTAAGTATATTAATTTTAGTTTGATATGCTGTTAACAACAAAAAGACTGGTACAAAAACAGTTACCTACATATTATTAAGTTCAATCAAACTCATTGCGCAAATAAACTCCATATTGCACAGTCATTGTGTTTGTATAGTTTGAAGTATCAGTAAACACAATATTAAAACGAAATTAATGATCAATAGTAGTTGGCTGGAAAGCAATTTGTTCCGCTTGTTGTACACAGTAATGTTTCACAAAATACCGTTAAAGAGGTTTTCATGAAATTATTTATGCAACCTTGAAGCCATAATTAGTATGCAATTTTATGTGAGTTGGCAACTTATGTGATAACACAAGTGTTTGTTATAAAAGATACACCTATATAAACATGCAAGGTGATCACTTGGTAATTTAAGGATGGTTCATTCTTATGTATGATCTGTAATTTACTTTTATGAAATATTATCATACTAAAAGTTTCGACAATCTATCTATAGTAGAGCAAAAATTTTCCTAAAATAGATCATTATTAATTTGTTGATAATTCTTTAAAAAAATACCTGCAGTCTATTTTGTGATAATAATCACAAAGTAAATTATTCCATGTCAGAACATCAATAATAATCATCCTAGGAAAATTACATGTGTGTACAATTACACTCTATAATCTGTTAACAAATTACACAATATTTTGATAGTATTTAGGCATTATTAGATAAGAATACTGTCGTGATAATCTTCGAAAAGAAGCCCAAAATATATTTATAACACGAAAGATAAATATACTAATTGTGAAAATGTTCTACGATCAGGATACGCGTGTCTAAGTATAGACGGCGCTGGAGTGCGTCGCGTACGCACCGCGGTTACTGCGGGGGATGCACCGACTGCGCCGCTGTGCGCAGGCGAGTGTGCGCGAGTCAACACTGGCGCCGCATTACCTGCGGGAGCTGACTGTGTTGTGCAGGTACTACTAACTACTGCTACTCTTTAAGAATGGTAAAATGACTTTTCAATAGGCCAAACATTACTAGTCCAAGATAACCAATAAGGGCAAATGCAGTCCACCTGATTTTAATGAGCCCTGGCTAGTTTACCTATTTAGTTTACAAAGATATTTCATCTTTATATTCCAAGTAGCATGAGAGTTGAGTCCTACGCTGGCATTCAATTCTGTAAAAACTGCTCCTGCAGACAGTATCTGAATGTTTTTCTTAATTTCTTACCTTATTAAAATATTCATCAGATTCATATTTGTATAATCTTATAACTTTCGGTCAACGTTTTTTATGTTATTTTTCTACTTACTTAACATAATATGTTTGTGGTAATTGTTTATGCTGATAATTGTGATAAATGTAGCGCATTGTTGTTAAGGCCGCCTGTGTGGGTTTACACAATTAACATCATGCCTGTGTGACCTCGTTGCTGGCGTGCCTCAGGGTGGCGTCCTTTCTCCTGTTCTGTTCTCCATGTTTATAAATACCGTTGCCAAGGTAATCTCCTCTAATTTTCACCTCTACGCAGACGACCTGCAGCTTTACCGCCACTTCAAACTATCAGAAGTTGGTCGCGCTATCGATGCTGTAAACCGCGACTTGGACGGGATTGATAAGTGGGCCAAGTCCTTTGGTCTCCAAGTCAATCCTCTTAAGTCTCAGGCCATAATCATCGGTAGTCGATACTTCCGCAGCGCTCTGGACATCTCTACTCTTGAGCCCGTGCGCCTAAATGGCACAGTGATCCCTTTCACTGACACTGCCAAGAATTTGGGGGTAATCTTCGACTCCAATCTTCTATGGGGTGCACAGGTGAATGAGGTCAGTCGAAGAGTCCATTTCTCCTTTCACTCGCTGAAGCGTCTCCGGTCCTTCTTGCCATTTAAAACTAAAATTCTCCTCGTACAATCCTTAATTCAGCCTTTACTCGACTACGCAGATGCTTGCTATTTGGACGTCACTGAGGAGCTACTAAACAAGCTTGAGCGGCTGCAAAACGTTTGTATTCGCTTTGTCTTCGATCTTAAGAAGTACGATCATGTCTCAGTATATCGCAGTAAGCTCAAGTGGCTCCCAATCCGACTTCGCCGGAACACTCGCATTTTATGTCTCCTTTATAATGTCCTTAACAACCCTGCCTATCCTATATATCTCCGTGACCGCTTTTCCTTGGCTCGTCCTCCTGAAGCCCTATCTAGATCCCACCTTAAGTCTCTTCTTGAAATCGTTCAACATAAAACCGATTTCTATTCCTACTCCTTCACGGTTCATGCGGTGAGACTGTGGAATTCGCTGCCGCCTAGCATTCGCGACGCCAAATCCATCTCCATTTTCAAACGACTTGTCAGGGATTATTATCTTTCGTCCTGAAGTACAGCTTTATTTATGTATATATTTATCTATGTATACATACAATATACATATATATATATTTTTATGTAATCATATTTAAATATTTCTAATTATTTTATTTATTATGTTTGTTATAATTCGCTTAAGTTTATATTTTATTCTTATACTACGGTCATTCTAGTTTTAAGTTCTTTCATTAATTTTATTTTGTTTTGTATTCGTTGCATGTATTTACACTGTGTCTTATGTCTTATGTTTATATTCCTTTTCCTGTCGCAGGTCTGCAGGAAGAAATCCCTTAAGGGATATGCAGTACCTATGTACCTCATGCTTACCTATAATGTGTTGTGTCTTATAATATTTTCTGTATGGTGTGGGTACATGAAATGATAAATAAATAAATAAATAAATCATAGCATAGGTACCAGGTAATGCTCGAGACAATATCTGTATTTTAAACTAAACTGAATAATCGTTAGTCTCCACATTGGCATATTTTGTTTGGGACCAAATCTTATTAATTTCTGTATATAGGTCATAGGTAATATAAAAGTATAATCATGTTTTGATTCCTGAATTCATGCTGATAGGTAAGTACGTCGCAACTTGTGTTGGCGCTCACCACCGGAAATCTCGCCAAGTGACCAGGCTGAGAACGCAGACATGTATGAACGTCAAAATAATTTTATCGAGAGTAATGCAATTACTTAAAACGCATTTCTTGTATCTACCAGGTGGAGGATACTAAACTAGTTTCAGCATCTGAAGACGGGCAAACAGAGCTGGAGGTAGAGATCCTGAAGGCGCCTGAGCCACAGCAAGATGTGAGGAATGTTGGCTTCGACATCCCCATGGGAACAGTACTCGTTGATAAAGGTTTGTTAGGTTCAAAATCCTTGTTAAAAATAACAATTTTTGGGTAATAGTTTAAAGAAAACGTTGTTTTTTGTTATATGAACAGCAGAATTGATTTTAATGTATTTGATAAAATGCAATTTCGACTTACAGGCCAAATACTAGATTCAGCTAAAATCGGAATACTGGCCGGCGCTGGCTATCAAAATGTTACCGTGCGGGTACCTCCCAAGGTAATTATCTACCACACTAGGGCAGGAGTATGTAGAACCTACAGCATGAAATACATTTTGCATGCTTTTACTTTTATTGTATTTACTAATGCTATCTATCATGTTTATAACTTACTTAGCTTTTGAACCTTTTTATAGGTGGCGTTACTATCGACTGGTAATGAGCTGCAAGAGCCATCGGAAGTGAAACTCAAACCGGCGCACATTCGAGACTCTAATAGGACCATGCTCAGAATGTTACTCAAGTAAATATTATTATTATAAGAGTCAAATTATTAAATAATAATTATATCTACACTAGAAGAATTTTGTCATAACATTAGTTTTGGTAGGTTGATCTAGTAATTTTTTTTATTTTAAAATTATCAGCATCTACACCTTTTTTGTATTTGATAGTGGAATCCTATAACCCTCTTACCATTTTCTATCGTTATGTGTCTCTTAGTAAACAATACAAACTTGTATGCAACTCGCTCAGTGCCAAGTATTCGCCATGACGACAGGTAAATAGGAGAGCGATATATGCGATAATGTTCTATTTTCAGATACAATGTGTGTAAAAAACTTAGTACAACACGTATTTTTTCGTTCTCTAGGTTTTGATAATGCAATACCTACTACACACACAGAGTTCTGGGATGTGTGTGTGGTCATATTTAGGGATGTTCTCCAGTATGTTTTTATAATACCGATCGATTATAATCTTTACTGTCTCTTAATGTATACGCTTTCCTGTGGCCTATGTGTTATTATAGACCATAATCTACCTACTCCTGTTCCAAATTTCATCTCGATCCCTTCAGCCATTTGGATGTGAAAGAGTAACACATACACACACTCATCCATACATCCTCACAAACTTTCATAGGCAACAGGCATAATTCTGAGTATATGAGATAAAGAATGATTAAGGAGTAATGTGTATTGTTCATTGTATCAGAGAGCACGGCTACGACAGCATAGACTGCGGCATCGCGCGCGACTCTCCGCCGGAGATAGTGGCCGGCATCGCTGCGGCACTCAAACTGGCTGACGTGCTCGTCTGCACCGGCGGCGTCTCCATGGGGGAGAAGGATCTGCTCAAACCTGTGCTACTCAAGGTAGATTGATGAAGGAGGATCTCACTAGTTGCTTCGTGTATGAGATTTGCTATTAAAATGCTTGCGTCCACTGGGCTGTTTGAGTTGGCGTCTACTATAATACTAGAGTGGCTTAAAATCTCTGACCCTCGTGACTAGTTGCGACGTTTTGACACAGGAAATCTACAATATTAATAAGAAAAAAATATATATTTCCTATAGGACTTTAACGCCACCTTGCACTTTGGGCGCGTGCGCATGAAACCAGGCAAGCCGTGCACCTTCGCCACCTGCGAGTTCGAGGGCAAGAAGAAGTACATCTTTGCTTTACCTGGTTAGTTTTATTTAATAATTTTGAATACCATAGTCGCATTTATTCGAAAATTCTCGGTTTTACTGAGAATGAAGAGGTAGGGCACCTATTACGCACCGCAACGTTTGAATGTCCCCAGGTAACCCAGTGTCGGCGTACGTGTGCGCGCTAGTGTTCGTGGTGCGCGCGCTGCGACGCGGCGAGTGCGCGCGCGCCGCCTGGCCGCGCCTGCGCGTGCGCCTGGCGCACGGCGCGCAGCTCGACGCGCGCCCCGAGTACGCGCGCGCCGCGCTCGAACTACACGCCGACAGGGACATGCCTTACGCGACTATGCTTGGCAGCCAGGTAACTAACTATACTTACCTTCACCTCATTATAAAATTATTTTCCGTCGACTAGATATAGATATTTCTAATAGTAAGTATGCTACTGAACTACTTTTACTTTATTTCTTTACTAAACAAGCTAATGAGCATACACTTTATGAGCCTAGCAATAAAGCCAATATTCCCTAAACAGTGCAGCAGTCGGTTACTGAGTGCGTGCGGTGCTAACATACTGCTGGAGCTACCGGCCGCCACGCCCTCCCTGCAGCGACTGCCCGCCGGAGCCATCGTACCCGCACTCGTCACAGGCAGGCTCGACATCTACTCCTAGAACTACGTTTCACTACTGTATACCTTATTGCCACGAGACAAACTTATCTTTTCTTTACCTTCTATGAAGATTGCCACGCGAAGTTCAACCTTAAGTTACGAGGAAAATAAATAATCCTTATAATGTTTCTTTGCTAAAGGGAGGTTTGAAAAGCTACTATAATATTGCCGTCATCTGTTAATAATCTCAATTATCGTACTTAAAGTCTCATACATAAGGCATGTTTTTGTGCTTTATGAATCTCAAAACATGCGAATTATAATATAATAATAGATAAATAGATCAATAGATGTAAGTGAAGAATTTGTACACTATTTTTAGAAATATTATTTAAGTATGAATGAAGTGTTAATATGATTAGCAAGTATAGTTTTATATGACATACGATACATAGTCGAGACTGTTGAGTAAAAGAATATTACCTGTGTGGTAATTATTGTTGGTGCTGTTTGTTAGAAATGTTACTTTATCAATAAATTGTTTTAATTAAGTTTCTTTCCGTTTATTAATCAACTATTACCAGTTCTCCATTATTAAAATGGTACATTCATTGATAACGATTGCGAACTCTACGAGATTTCTTCAGTACAAGTAAGTTTTAATTATGTATGCCTTTTGGCATAACTTTCATTTCATTTTCGACTGGTTTCTTTCTATAGTAGCTAATTTTTAAACGACTTTTTCGACGACCACTTAGGAAAAGGTGTTAGTATATTAATTAAATTAGCTGACTTCAAAAAAAGAGTGTTAAAGGCGGTTTATTTAAACGTAGTTTATAATTATTATCAGGTGTGTTGCGGTAGAATATATTCAGAAAAAAAAATTCATTCATAAAACATCAAAATAAAAAGCAAAGTTACAAACAATATTAATTTATTTAGTCATCAAATGCGTAACTACATACAACACTGCACACTGACCCAATCACACTTCAGATCGCGAGGAATCCACTCTCAGTCTCTCTCCCATAATATGTGCTTTATAAATAGATCGCGCGTGTATAGCACGGGGGACGAGTGTTATGTGGACATGACATGTAATGTTACGTGGATCAACCATGGTCCGCGCCAACGTGACGTGAGCGCATCGCGCACCCGTCGCGTCGACCCAAACCAAGTAGATTGTCGGTTTGTAGTTTTAACAACAATAATTTACTATAATTCTTTATATGAAATTAAAGAAAATACGACAATAATGTTATTTGTACAGATGAATTTATATCACATTTTAATAACAGACACATAAAGCAAACACCTGGGAGTGAGACTTAAATAAAATATTGGATATATTTCTCAATAAGTATAATTAACAAGAAGTACTTTATAACTGGTTTGATGCATAACTTGGAACTGACTTATAGATGAAATATATCCTTTGTAAACCTGACTGTAACTACAAATTTCAGTGGTTTTGTAAAAACTTGTAGAAACAGTAATCTTGTTACACCACGCGTTGGACTTCAAAGAACCTTTTGAGGTAGTAAACCTGTCCCAAGGTCATGACGAGAAGGACGGAAGCTTCAAATATAGACCACATCACAACTCTGGAGTTTGTGCTCTCGTTGATCGCACGGTGGATGCGGTCGCGGACCTGATTTGGACAAGAAAGGTAGCCTGAGTAAAATATAGAAGACACCCACTTTTTGCCAATTGTCTAAAAATTTTAGTATCAAAAATAATTATGCAATTCTAAAGTATTTATATGAAAAGAGATGGTGTACTAGACATACCTGCATGTACTCTTGTTCATGTTTGACAGTTTTAAGTGTGGTGGCCAGCTCCTTGATCATATCTTCCAACTTGTTGTGGTTCACATCCTCTTCCTTGCCAGCAGGCTGGCCTTGAGGTGCTACTCCGATCTCCAAGTTGAACATCACAACCTGTGGAGAAAGACAGTTTAATTATTTGTGGTTGTTGTCTTTAGGCTTAATGTGTAAGAGTCTCATGAAAATGCCATTTTGATGAGACTCTTGTGTCATGTTTGTTATGATAAAGTTTATTAATAGAAATGGAAATGATAATATGGTTGATAATTTGTAAACCATATTGATTGTATCATGTACTTTATAATTCTTGTGTTGCAGGTTCGATTCCCGCACAAAACAACTCTGTGTGATCCTCAAATTGATGTTTCGGGTCTGGGTGTCACGTGTATTTGAACTTGTATACAAAAACAACATAGTTGACCTAAACTTTTAAAGTCATTTAGGTTTAGCTGCATAACTTTCTATAATATGTATGTACCAAGTAAATGGAAGAATAATACTGCAAGTGGCAATTAATGCTAAATAATTATAACCACTTGGAGCTACTGAGGTAAGTGATTAATGTCTGATGTTATTTATTAGTTCTGTTATATTACTATTTCTAGTAATATATTTTATTTTAGTGAAAGTTTCATGTTTTCCTCTCATTTCAAAAATTTTTTTTGTTTGTATGTTATGTTTTAAAAATAGTTTAAAAGCTTATGAGAACTGCTTTTCTTTATATTACAGGTGCAAGACATAACTAGACCACAAAGACTGAAATGCTTATTAATATTGTTTCTAAAATCATACGGGAACAGCACAAACCTTAGGTGTCATGGTGGACATCTTATTACTGAAGCAGTAGGTGTATCTGCCGGATGTGGGGGCTGAGAATGTGTACATTCCTGATGACTCCCGCTCTCCCTTGTATATCACGGCACCATCAGGGCCTGTGATTGTTACGTCTATATCTAGGAAACCACCTTCTGCTATTTCAAATGTCAGACCTGGAAAACAAAAACAGTATCGGAATAAAATTGGTGTTTATTTGTACTAATTTGGATTTTATTAAACTCAAAAATTAAGTAGTAAAATTTGTTTAAGTATTTTTATTGTTTTTATTTAATATAGTCATACCTAAAATGGAACAAGGTGTATCAGCTGCATTCTCTTATTAGAGAATGTAAGTCTACTAATAATTAGGTTATAAGTGAAATCAATCGCAAGATTTATCTAACGACTGATATACAGAGAAAGGTGGGTTTGTTAAAGATAACTGATAACATGACTTGTCGCCGGAATAAAGATTCTTTATCACCGGTGTTATACATTGCATAGAAACTTTGTAAAATAAGTTCAAAGATTACGCTTTGAAATCAAACGAAAGCATAGTTGGAGTGACAAATTAGGAAAAAACTAATCTCTAAGTCTAAATAAACGGTATCAAATTAGTAAAACCTTACCCATTTTAGTATCTGCCTCAACATTTTCGAAAAAGCACTCCTCGGCATGGGCATCGACTGTGATGGTATAACAGTTTCCTGTGTGCAGTAAAGTTGCCGCTAATAATACGGTAAAACAAAGCGATCTCCAAGAACTTTTCATTTTGTTAAATAGAAATTAATTTGCCCTAAAATATAACTTTAATTCAAAAGAAGAACATACGCTTGTTTTCCCTACGTGAAAGCCACGTAATTTGACAACTGACAACATGACAAGTTGATATTTTTTGACAGCTGTAATGTAGCGTTCAAGATATTATAGCACTGCTAAAATGCGTCTAAAATGTAATAAAAATCTGAAGTTTATATCAAGTTTCTGATAAATTAATTATATACGTATATTCACATATTAATATATTCATTTTTACAAATCGTACATGATACGCTATTTTATTTTTTGTTTAATCTTCATAATTTTGTTTTTGCTACTCACCAAGAGATGTCGCTGCTTTCCATAAGTGATGATTATGAAGTCTCGTCAATTTTTAATTGAACAACATATCTTTTCAATCGCTATCAAAAGTTTCAACATATAGCTTAACCTTTAGGAGAATTTTCTGAACTGAAATAATTTTAAGATCCTTACCCTGGATCCCTTGAGCGTCTCAGACGCGCTTGCGGTCACTCGATCAATGAGACAGTTATGTAGCTGGTGGCGTATTATGACAGCCAGAGTGGTTCTGCTTAGGGAACGAAATCTCGCTAGACGACTTGTATAGCTCTGTTTCTTTCCCTCAATGGATTTTCATAAAAATTAATACTATCTTCAATATATGTATACTCGGATTTTAGCAAGTCATTTCATATTGTTATTTCAATTAGTTACTTAAGCAGTCGGCTCTACAATTTTACCATACTCGGTCCAGTCTGTGTACCTGGTACTGGTAGTACCAGCCTACTCAATGTAAACAAAAAAGCGTTAATGTGTTAGCTATATGAAGGAGGTGCTAAATGTGACGTCTGGCTGTACGATAACTAAATTAATTTATTTTGGACACGTTACTTTCAAAGGGATTTAAAAATAAACGGTTAAAGTAACGTAGGTACCTATAATTTAATGACAATTTGACAACCTTCTGTACTCTGACTGATTCAGAAGCCTAGGCAGCTAACTTAGATATTATCTTCAGCTTTTGCTACCTACTTTGATTCATGTAAGTTCACTTCTCTTCTTATTCTTCTCATTGTCATAAGATCTAGGACGGTCAGCGAATATTTCATTCATAAATCCAATAAATAAATATTCCACAAATTAAAATTCACGATTTATCAGTTTGACACAATTCTTTTTTTGCAAATAAATAAACCTACTTATTTATATTTAATGATTTATTTATACCTCGACCTACCTAACTTAATAGATAATAATAGTTACCTATGTCAAAAATGCGGTTTAAGTAGGTATCACAAGTACCTGCATACTACATAGGCTAATTAACATAATCATAAAAGCCATTATTGTATTTATTTAGTTTAAATATGTAAAATGGGTCGCAGGTGTGATATTCAACAAACCTCACGTTTTTTAACATGTTAAAACTTAAACTGGAAATGAAAAGCCGCACGTAATTTTTTTTTTAAGTTGGGATTGGGACTTACGTTTAACCACTATCTCGCCTGGTAGTAAGCGATGATGTGGCCTACGATGGAGCACGTCGACCCATAAGCAACCTATTCACTCGGGCCTTGAAGACTGAAAGGCTTGCCACTTGACACCTGTGTTCGAGACTTTGAAAACGGGCCTCCACAAGCGCATCATCGTTAATGAGCCTCTTGGCACGCCTCTCGATGTGCTATAATGCGTCCCGCTGATATTTGGCCGAGCCGTCTCAAAGTTGAGAGCAGTATTCCATACAAGACCGAACCTGTGCTTGGTACAGACTCAGCAATGGTTTCGGCGTGAAATACCGTCTCACCCTCCATATGATACCCAACTTCCTACCAGCCAGTTGCGCTTTTGACTTTATATAGGAGCCAAAGTTTAATGAGGGCGTCAAAGTTGCGCCAAAAAGCTTAAGATGAGCAGATATCGGAACGGATACATTCCGGAAAGTAGGAGTCAACGGAAATTGACTCCGTTGGGCGGCGAATAGACACGCCTGGGTTTTGCTAGCGTTGAACTTGACCAAGTTGGAATCACCCCAGTCGGAGACCGTTAACTAAGTTATTGTTGTTAAGCGGTGGTTAAGGGACACCGGCGGTGGGAAATAACTTTAAAGTAAGTTTACGATTTATCTAGAATATTTAAAATAAAAGACAATCAAATAATATATTGCCCCCACATAGTTAAGAGCAAGTATTTAATCCCAAAATATCACAATTACAAAAGTATTAAAGTAGATTACCTTAATCTATTGATACCTTAAATAATAAATTCCTATTTATTTATTTACTAAACTAAACAATATTATTATTATAATGTCACACTGGCTTTCAGGCTGACACGACTTATCCCACCTACTAGGTAAGTTCTTTAGCGTAGAGTCCATACGCACCCTGAATTAATTTTAATGAACTTTTCATTCAACTACTTATGACCACCAAATACTACCAACAGAGTAGGTCGTCAGCTCCTAAAATTCCTAGTGCTGTAGTGTATAATGTTAATCGATATCGAGTTTCCTAAAAGCTCCGACTGTGCCGTAAATGTCGACATCGTTGCTGGGTACTTTCGCAGTGCTGCAGGCTTCGTTAAAGATGCGCAAGTAGGGGCTGACCTCATCGATACGACGTCTCCATTTCTTTGCAAGTGTATCGATGTTTTCTTCTTCCCCTCCCCATTCCCTCGGTAACACTTGTGCGGGAATGTGTTCCAGTAGTTGTTCCACTTTCGGGTGTAAGTAATACTGTGGAAAGACGTATCAACATTACTGATGATTAAATATACAATGTTCGTCGACCTTATTTTAGTTGACTATGACGGACACATAATTATTTGTTTGACGGTAATATGCTACTTTAAAATAAGTGTGGTTAAACAGATTGTAAGTTAACAGTCCGCATTGAGCTGTTTCCTTATGCGGAGGCAGCAGTTTCCGTATGTACACGACTAGCAATTATTACATCATAGGATAGTCTAAATGGAAATCTTGATAAGATTACAATGATAATTATTATTATCTATGTTCTTGTTAGCACCTGTGGTTAGAAGTGCTAGGACTATGTAGGTCTATGAATAAACTCTCTGATATTAGAATGAGCAAATCCTTACCCGTCTTTTGATCTTCTCGTTAACACAGTTGCGCATGAGTGCGAGTGAGGAAGCAAGGAATGGCGGGGAGCCCACCACATGGATCCTCTTCAGTCTCTGAGGGTATGCAGCCTGTGCCAGCTGGATGGACCGTCTCACGGCATTGGCTGCAGCTGCTACGTGAGCTACGACCGAGCCGCGGACATTAGATACCTGCAATATACCAAGCAAAATGACTTTGTCATCTTTAACTCCACTTGGTACTAGTACTTTTAGGGTCTCTACTAACCTCATAAATAAATACATCCCCTGCAATTTGATGTTCATCGTACATTCTGACGTCACTGGTGAGGAGGACCGCTCGAACTGCATTAGCGACGTCTGCTGAGCTCTCCGGGTACTCCGCTCGTATTCTGAATATCGTGATCCGGTAGCCTTCGTCTGTCAGTTTTGGAAGTACTACTATGTCCCTGTGTGAAAATAACTAGATTGTAGAGGTCCATACCTATCTTTGAACTGACGCAGTTCCTTACAGAATTTTTCGTGAATGGATAGATTTTAAAGCGCCAATCCATATAATTGTATACAAAGAACAAGCCTATATAGCTTATGTATATGCCTGAAAAATTGAAGATAGTCTTACATGAACTTGCAAACATCGTTGAGAGGTGGACAGGTGAGAGAGCGATGCTCGTAGAGGTCGCGGAAACGGACCCGTGCCAGGCAGTATGCCTCCAGCTTGGAGCGAGCGCGGTCCAGGTCCATGCGACACCCTCGTACGAACAGCTCCAGGACACGTTTATCTATAAACAAAAATACATATAATTAAAATTACAGACACTTGTCTCACAATCGTGGATAATAAGTAGGTATTCAGTCTCAGATTCGAACAAACAATTTTTAATATCCACATGACACATAATATCACATGCTGTTTATTATTAGCATTAAGTCTTCCTTATGCAATTGTATAAAACTTAAATAAAAATAAAAAAAACATCACGCCTTTTTATCCCCGAAGGGGTAGGCAGAGGTGCACATTTCGGCACTTAATGCCACTGTACAATGTAACACCCACTTTTCACTATTTATGTTATAAGTCTAGTGAGCCTATTGGCATAAACCGGGCACATTTCCAGACTCCGTGCTACTACTGAGATTTTTGAAAAACCCAGTAATAATTTGCTCGACCCGGGAATCGAACCCGAGACCCCTTGCCCGGCAGTCGCACTTGCGACCACTCGGCCAACGAGGCAGGCAGTTTTTAATATCCAATAAGGAGAAATTTCTGATGAAGTATATTCCCGTAAACGTGGCGTACCTCAGGGAGATATTTTTGGCCCAAATATATATTTTTACAATAAATAAGACAATATTTACTTCATTGTAAGAAACATGCTAATTTTGTATAACTTTTTCGAATAAGCTATGTAACGAGTCACGATACATGGAAGTTTTTTATTGATAGTGTACATAAAAATTAACGTGTGACTGTGTGACCAACATACCTAGGTAGTTGCGGTTGCTACTCAACAATTTGTCAAATACCAAGCCTATGTATGAACTGCCTAAATTATACATAGTCTCTAGATTATTATCAGCAAATCCTAGATTTGAAGTTTGACCACTGGCACTGATAGACATAACGGGATCAGATAGGTACTATTTTAAAACGTTTTACGTAATAATACGTACGAGTATGCAAACATCAAAAAGTAGCATTAGTGGCATTAGATGTAGAACCGTAGAGGTACTATCTGATTGCTTTCGATGATAACTCCTAAATACGTATACCCAGACCCAATGAATAATTAATTACTTTGTTTTCTTCAATTTCACTACTAGTTGCACGTTTGCGTCACAATCTACTTAAATCAGCTATTTATTGTTACTTCCGTAATTGTAGCAATAAATAGCATATGGAGGAAAATAAGCTCGACTGATAGATATAAAGTATGCTTGCTTACCTAAGTACATGCGTGTAGGTACGATAGTACAAGGTGGGAAACAAGATATTAAATAAAAGATAGAAATCAATAGACATTTCCTACATCTTCGAGTGAGACTAAGCTGTATGCGAATACTGTTGTGTTGGAATATATTTGTTTTTTTTTCTTATTGAAAAACTATGCATGTACCTACATTGTTGATTCTAATAACTATAAACATAAAACTATAAACATCTCACACTTATCTCCCAACAAAAATAGTATCGTTTAATACAAAATAAACCCCAAGGTTGTATTATAATGACATAACGCCATGAAATATGGCGGACCAGTTCAACCACCGCGCTTTGTTCTACATTATTTACGTTATCAACAAAACAACTGTCCATCATCGTCTATTGTTCCGCCGTACAACTCGTTACACCGGTTTCCACAACTAAATCTTCTGGAAAATCTATCTTAAAAACAAGTTTAAAAAATTTCCACAATTTTGTGTAATTACTGTAATTTTAACAGTAACTATCGGTTACGGTACCTTCTGTTTACGTTTACAAAGTTGTGCTACTTGTATTACGTCGTTGTTATTATCATAATAAATATAACTACATACAGAAGTACCAATATCATCAATATTATGTAATTTTTTTCAAAATCGGGAATTTCTGTAGGTACACAAATATTGGCGATCTGATACATTTACCGTGACTTCAGTCTTTACCTCTCTATTAAGAACTTCCTTGTAACCTTGTCTGATCTATTCCAATTTCTGTGCAAATCACGTATTCGCCATTACTCAGGCACCTGGTGTTCTTTGAGATTTAAACGAGCCCCGTAACCTACAGGCATAATTTAAACAAGTGACCTGACCACATTCCTGCTCTCCCTTCCAAACCTTAAGCTTATTATTAGTCCTATTACATGGACACACACACTCTAAGCTCGAGTTCGAATTGTGTGCAGTACAGTCTACACTTCTACAGCACCTCTTTACTCCCTCTACCAGTTCCAAGATAATGAGACACTCAGTCTTCGACTGCCATTCCCCATTATAGGGTACTTACGTGTAATTACTCGGGTATCATTGTTAATAGTTTTGCAATTATACTTTTTAACTAACTTGGTCAAGGAGTGTCGCCTGCGCACGTAATTTTGCGTAGAACAACGTGCGTTAGCGCATGGCATAGGTATTATAATGCACTCGACGTTTGGGCGCTGTGAGTGTGAGGAAACATTCTGGTGATGAACTGCTATTGTCTTAAACAATGGCGGGGATAAATTATGTCATTTCACTTCGCTTTACATGGAACCGTGCGGCGCGTGATTGGATTTATTGATGAGGTAGCTGCGTGAATTCGGTCACTATTGCGTAGGGCACACGATTCTTTGCATACTCGTCGTTTAGTTATTGCTTATTATGACTCATTACGTCTTATTGGATAAGTTATTATGCGGCTATTAATATTTTTTATTACGGACATTTAATAGGACAGTCTATTATACATGCATTTACGGGGAAGCAATAAATAAAGTACCTATATTCTATCTACCAATAGAACAATATCCCTTCACACCGAATCTACATTAGGTTGAAACTATTCAACCTTAAGTTAAGTACAAAGGTTATTTTTCTCATGAAAACTTGACGCTCGTTTTCCAGTTTTCCTTATATTGGTTTACGTTTAGTATTTTATAATCGGTTTGCGTCTGAACCTACTTCAATCCTTGTTACGTAATTACGTTTAATACAGGTTTGTGAGATAGAAATTCTTGTGCTATTTAATCGCGTTGCAAAATGCCACTTGCGGTTCTGTAATTTTATTTTCTGTGTCCAAATAGTAAATACCATTTCCAAACGAATAGCATAAATTCTTGTGTTTATTTCCTCTCGTTATGATTAAATTTATCCATATTGAGACAGTGTGTTTTTACTATTAATCAATAAGTAATAAAAACATATAAGCAATTACTATTAGGTGTGCATTACATAATATTCGCATAGTTTAACATTTGTTTACCAACAATCGCTAGAGCTTTTGTAATATATTCATTATTCGTATCCCATTGCATAATGCATTTTAAATACCAACTCGGCAAATAAAGGTACCAACTAGGTACCAGTATGTAGTACCTTTAATTAAGCAAATTATTATTCGTACCTGTTATTACACACACCTTCAATATTCATGAACAGTGTTGAATGACGGAAATCGAGTTACTCATTTCATTGGGAGCGCTTTAGCCAAGTGCTTTTTTATCTTAGGTAAGCAAATTCGAATGACGTTTATTGTATTAAGTTACTGTGTCTACTTAATAATCTACCATTAGTCCTAATGGCTAAGTACACTAAGTTAGATACTACATTAGTGTAGGTACACTTGAGAACCATGCAAACAAATGTTACTTTTTATAATTTAAATTACTTATTTTATTCTTGACGTTGAAGTACCTATTTATTTATGTTCACAACTATATACATACACACGTCATCTGTGCCAATGTTTATGAAGTGTCCGCGCATAATAGAATAGACTAGAACACTTTTTTAATTTTATTTTATAGAATAATAGAAGAAGACCTTCAACTACTCCATGGACTCTCGGAAAGGTGCAACATTAATTTTATTTAGAGATGATTGAACACTGAATATTTTTACAGCATAACGCTAATTTTGATGTAAAGTCCAGGGTGCAAAGTACCTACAAACTAATGGATTTGTATTTGAATTATTTATTGTCTAAATACTCTAGATAATGTACAGGATACTGACAGATCTCAAATTCATTAGTGAACTAGATTCAGAAGTGGAGGACAAAGTGTACCTATAGGTTCAAGGGTCAATGGCCCGTTATGTCCCATTACGAAACTGGTAAGTCATCATTATTGGACAATTCACTGTTTTTGTTTACCTACATTTCCAAAAAGTGATCAAGTGGACACTTCATATCCTCAACGCAGGTGGCAGTAGACGACTTGATGAGTCATTATTATTAAAGTTCTACGTTATACAGTCAAAGTTTCCGAGTTATTCTCTGATTCTACTTTCTGAATGATGGCGAGAATTCAATATTCTACTGACAGGTACAGTACGTCCAATGGATCAGTACTTAAGGACTTGTATAAGTCCTTAGGTGGTTAGGTACACTATGGCTATCTGACGAGGAGGAGCTGTTGGTTACCTAGGTCAGTAGGTTAAATGGTACCTACATTCTATTGAACCAATAATTTTAATTAGCTAAAAATGTTAATTACTTAAGTCTAAATAGACGAATACGGTCAAAGTCAGTCTGCGTTTGGGATTTGTTCTCGAAGTGTGACACAGATTAGTGGCTTGTTTGGATAAACAACAACATGTGGTTGTTTGTGGCTCTCGAGGTCAAGTTATGTTTTTCGCGATCGATTGATCCGTGAAAGGGCAATAAACTAACTCGAGAACCTTCCGTGTGTTGGAAAGCGGAAAGTATGGAACTGGCGTCATCGCATTATAATATAACATCTTTAGAAAGATCTTAATAACATCTATAGAAAGGTGATGTAGTAGGTATACTTACCCTACTCCATCTATTATAGAGGGCGGATGACTGTGCTTTCACCTAAAATACTTATGTTGCATGATTAGTGATGACTACCACTTGTTGGCACAACATAAATCGTAAGTACTGTACTTGTTGCATTTAATATACATTTTCGGATTCTTCACAATTTCGTTAATTTTACTCGAGTTTCTTTTAAAAACAAACTGTGGGAATAAACCCGTGGCATCTCCATTACATCAAATAATTTGGCAATGGATTAAAGCATTAAATACCGATGTAATTAGTAACCGCAACTTGTAATACTTGTATCAGCCACAAAATAATGAACGCAGCGGTCATTGCCCCCACTAGACACACTAAGCCCCCACTAGACACACTAACTCCTTTCCACATAAGCCCTTGTCGCAAGACTTAATTTACTGTTTCTGTTCTATATGTACCCAAGGCCCTAAATAGACTAAATCTACAAAGTCACGGTTGGCCTAGGTCCTTAGTCCTAGAAATTCAAATGAAGATAAAAAACACGCACGCACGGCTTCGCACGGGTGCAATACGCATGTATTATACATAATTATAAACCTTCCTTAAAAACCACTCTATCTATTAAAAAAACCGCATCAAGATCTAAGCATAGATAGGGACAGACAGACGGCGGATAGCGACTTGATTTTATACTATGTAGTGATAGTGATACACTAACACTCAGACTCAGACCCTAGGTATACAATTAGTCGATCACGCACAGAATTGGGATGATGACGGGGTATAAAAATTAAAAATCTATTTATTAATGTCGTAATGAAAAACATTAGACACGTAATTTTTTATTTTGTTGTTTAATACAATAATGCTTAGATAAAACGAATCAAAGTTTTGGGGGCTAAAACGTTATTTCTACGTATAAGTTTCTACATAGAAGTGACGTCACGGGACATTTCAAATCAATATATCGTCGAAAGTATTCGTTTCTGTAGGAAAATAAAAAATACGTGTCTAATGATTTAAGATCTATCACACGGACATTAAAATAAAAATAAGGCATCTACCCTATTATTGTGTCGCGGAGAACCTAACGGGTAACCGAGGCTCCGGCTCGACGTGCACGAGAAGGAACGGGGTGGTTTTTAGTCAGTAAGAGTCTGACACTCCCTTCCGCCTCACCCAGGCGGGAGCAGTCATTCGATGATTTTCCCCCCTTAAAAAAAAAAAAAAACCTATTATTGTACCACGCGGGAATATTAAACTGAATACACGACACGTTGCACAGCTTCCAGACGTCTCTTGCGCCAACCGAATCTGTCAAGCCGAACTAAGAACCCAATAGAAGTTCCACCAAAAAAACATAGATCCTGGTTCCGGCATTTCTTAACAGACTAGTTAGGTACTTAAGTGCCCTTTAAAAGAGCACCTACCGTGCCCTGCCCTATTAAGTGACAATATTTTAATTCCATGGTCCTTTTAAAAAAATGAAAAATTATTTTAATAAAAGTAACATCGATGTATAAGAAGGTAAAAGTAAGAATAAAACTTTTTTTGAAGTCGGTATATAGACTCACTTTATCACTTCTGTTTGATTATTCGTCTACGACAATGTTACCTACCTTACTAGGTATGGTTTGATAAAGGAAGGAATGCACTTCATAAATAGCGTCAAGACGCTAGTGAAGTGCATATACTAAGGTATATAACGAGTATATAAATAAAATTAATTAGGTACATATTGTCAGTCAGTCAGTTGTAGAGTCATAAATTGACTCTATAAAGACTACCAGTATACAGAACTCACCGACGTTCTCCGGCTGCGGCAGGTATGGTGAGGCGGCGAGCATGCTGCGCAGGTCCTGCACCCCGCGCTGGATGTCCCCGGGGGTCTCACCCAGCTCCTGCGCGATCAGCTCCGCCTGCTTGCGGGACGGGCCTTGCAGAACCGCCATCGCACTTCACAACACGTGTTTCCTCGTAGCTCGTATCGCTGACTCGATGCTCTAATTCCGAGCGGCGAGATTGCGCACTCCAGCTGAGTAAGGACAAAACTGTGGCCGCATAGCGCTCACTGCCTTTTATAAACTCCGCGGCCACTGCAAAACGTAAGGACGAGGAGGACTGCTCACTGTCAGAGACACTAACGAGCGAACACCGGCTCTACGTCACTAACATCAACTTTATTCATTATCGCCCTTTAAAGAATATTAATTCGATACATTCTCACAAGATTTTAAGTAAATAATACACAATATAACAAGCGGATAGATACAACTTGTAATTAAAGTTGCAAATTAACGACAAGCCGTGTCTACAAGTACCTAACGAATCTTTGTTTTGTTTCACGTACTTATTAGAAACGTGAGATTTTATACAGTTTTTGCTAAAATTGTTCGGAAAGTGTGTCAATATAAAGTCAAGATCGTCGAAATGTGATGAGTACAGCAAACAAGGCACGTGAGGCGCGCATTTACTATGCTGTCACTGTGCGTTAGTAGCTATAATGAGTAATTAACAGATATTTATAGTTTTAAGCAAAATATGTGAAAGTAATGTATGTAATACTTTTTGTAGTCAACAGGCACAGATAACAATAATTTCTGGCCTTTGTAATAATATGATGGATAGATCCCAGTGACAGGGTCACAGGGATAAACCTACCCTATAGCCTAGTTAATGTCTACTGTAGGTACATACCTACATTTTATTTACTTGATGAACGGCACTGGCTATAGTGGCACTGGACTCTGGACATTGGCAACTAGCGAAAATTAGGTGTACCTATTTAAGTAAAGAATAAAAATAACCGCGAAAATGAGTCTGTTTGTTTATTTGTTAGCCGTTCGGAACGTTTTTTGTAAACGATTTAAAAGCCTACCTTACTTGTGGAAATATACGTATACATATTGGCAAATTTTGTCAACAAAAAATGTTATTATAACAAAATATGTTCTTTGAATAGATAATGCGTATAAGTCTAGTCTATCTTTGCTCTAGAAGCTGTGAGTGCGACCAAAAAAAGTGATTTAAAACTCTAACCATAATTATAAACTTCCATTAAATTTAAATTGGAGCTACATATGGCTTTCATCAGTGCAATACATGTGTAGGTAGGTAATTAAGTGAGCATATTCACTTTTTCCAAAATCACCTTTCTAGTTCGGCACCGACTTCTAACCTAACACTGAGTGAGTAACCTATAAGTACGTATGGCTATTATTGGTTATTTTTTGCTTTTTAGTTTTTAACTTTTGCTTGTTTTTAGGTTTTAATTTTCGAAGTCGGTTTTTATAAACGCAGTTTTTGTTCTTTTGCTTTTTAATTTAATACAAGGCTATATACACCCAGTATACTGCGCATTAGGATAATACGAATTGTGCCCAGTATACCTATGGCAATAGGCTCACCCCTTATTACATGGGACTCATAACATGAATAGTGGAAAGTGGGTATTACATTGTACAGTGGCATAATGTGCACCCCTGTCTACCCCTTCGGGGATAAAAAGCGTGATGTAATCTTATGTTATACTACATATATTCCACATGGTTGTAAAGTTCTCATCATTACAAATTATTTAAGCTCAAACACCAGGTAAACGGTTAATATTAATCGGTACGGTAAACGGTAGCTATTAATCGTCAAAGTGCCCTTCGGTTTTCATGGGATCCCACCATCAGATCCTGACCTGGTGGAAATGGGACCACCCCCGTCCACAAACGCCGGAGTAATCGGGTAACATACAGAAAAAAAAATAACACAGCCGAATTGATAACCTCCTCCTTTTTGGGAAGTCGGTTAATATCAGATCATGGCGCTATCTATTGTCTAATAGCAGCATTGAATAAGTAATTTTGTCTATGATTATTGTCGTTCTGTGTCTATGATTTTGATTATCGTTAAGATTATCGAGAATATCAGTTATATTTTAAGCTATTCGACACTAGATGGCGCAGTATATTGTTATAGTAATGGCAACATTTGTCAGTGTTGTCAAATGACACTGAAGGTTGGTTAATTCAATTTTCAAATAATAACGACGAAAATACCGGGTTCGGTGCATTGCTAATGTTGATTATGATTTGTGATATAAATAAATAAAAGAAATATGCATGTGTATAAGTGAAGTCGATTTTGGTACAGTCAATTAACAATGGAGCCATCTAAAGAAGCGATAGCAGTTCGCATTACGCGGATAAACCGTCTGATTCTGGGAAAGGTGACAGGTGGGAGTAATAGGTTCAGTAGGAAGACAATAGATCGCGAAGCCCTATTGGATGCCCTCACAGTTCTCTACGATGAATGTAACGATGACCCGGTCAAGAAGAGTGATGACTTGGTTAAAGCCTTTTTGGACAAGTGTAAGTGGCTTTTGTCTTATCCTTAAGATGCTTAAAATGTGTACAACGCCTTGTGACCAAGGCCCTAAGGATACTTACCTTTTGACCTTTAAATCCTCATAATGTGGTTAATCGAAAAGTGCACTGTTAGAGATGACAAATATTGCATATCTTGTATAAGAAGAAGTTTATTATAAAAAAAAAATGAAATGTTATTATACCTAATTAATTGGAATAGGTCAAATTAGCCTAGGGGTAATGGATGTTATGAATTTCATACTTTAACCATTTGTACTGGTTCATATTACCATAGGTCAACATTAAATACATTGAATACATTGCCAACTGTTACTATTTCTTACTCAAATAGTGGATCAATTAATATTTAAATTATCCAATGTGTATACCATAACAAGTATATCATAGTATATTGTGTTTCCAATACAATACACATAATTTGTTATAATAAAAACTATTTTGAATACAAAATATAAGTTGGATATCATAAAATTAATATCTGTTATTGTGTTTGCTAGATCGGAGTACATTGGCAGAGCTGCGCAGGACCCGGGTATGCATATCAGACTTTGATATGCTCCAGACTATTGGACGAGGACACTTTGGAGAAGTTCATGTATGGGTTCATGTTTTGTTCATATTGTATTATTATGATTTTGAGGAACTTTATTGGGGATCCACTATTTACTTTTTGTTTTCTACATCTTTAAGATGGTCCGGGAGAAGCAAACAAGTGATGTGTATGCTATGAAGACACTCCGTAAGGAACAATCGCGTAAGCGAGCCGATGAGGAACGAGATGTGCTTGCCACAGCTACTGGACCATGGATACCCAAGCTGCAATATGCTTTCCAAGTAAGTGGCATTTAGAAATAAGATTTTAATTAGAATACTCATTTCAAATGTTCCTAATATCTGAATAGTACAAATACTTAATACATACATAACTATGACTCATGCAGGATCCTTCAAAACTATTCTGAAGCAAACATTTTTAATGAATAGCCTATAACATATTCATATTTGTTGTACAGGACAGTAGCAACCTGTACTTAGTGATGGAGCTGTGTTGCGGCGGTGACCTGGCTGGGCTGATGGCACGGCGCGCGCATCCACTGCCCGAGCGAGACGCAGCGTTCTATATCGCTGAGATTGCACACGCACTGAAAGCTCTGCATGGCATGGGATACGTGCATAGAGATGTCAAACCACATAACATACTGCTTGATAGGTGGGCACAAATTGTTAATCATTAGTGGAATGTGTTTTAATTAAATATTAAAGAGTTCTATGATCTAGATGTATGTTGTGTTGTAGATGCGGTCATGTGAAGCTGGGTGACTTTGGTTCGTCGGCGCGCCTGTCGGAGGGCGGATGTGCGGGCGTGGCGGTGGGCACGGCGGACTACATGGCGCCGGAGCTGCTGGCGGCGGCGGACTGCGCGGCCCACGCTGTGTGTCTCCAGTACTGCGCCAGGCTCGTTACCACTGCCATTGTGGGTCGCGCTCACACACGCATGTGCTTATACTTACACCCGCCACGCATCTTGTTACTCTCTTTCTCTATGCTGCCACACTTGGTGTAGTGTATTTATTTGACGGCATCACTTTGTTTGCCCTTATACGGGAGTACACCAACGTCAACACGTCTATGACAAAATTTTAAAAGCTCCAAAGTTAAAAAATGTTTTTATGATATCCTCACAGGATGGAGTACAAAGAATGTGTTTACTTTTCCTTCATTTGCATTTCATATTTAGATATGAACACAAGTACAGCAAATAGACAGAACAGTCTTTGAACATAAAGCATTTGAAAGACAAAAAGTATGCTACACCTAGTGTGGTAGGTATGTAAACTATTTCAACTTGATATGGCAATGAACTTTAAACTTTGAGAATGTTTGGAAACAAAATGCAAACCTGTTGGTGATTAGATGTAACTCTGTATTTCTCTATATTGTAGTAGATAGCAAAGACATGTTGTGCAACTTGTAGATAGCATGGCAGAGTAGAGCAGTGACATGGAGTATTAAATTAAGTTAACAACATTTATTGGATTTAATGGATTGGTTGTACCTGTATAATATTCAGTACTGGTGAATAGTTACTAACAGAAGTAGTTCTGTAGATCTTCATTTGGCAGTGTTATATTTCAGTAACGTAGTCTGTCCTTATTTATTACTAGTGTAATGTAAGATTTACTATCGTGTGCTAATGTGTGTGTGTTGTCCAGTCGTCGTGCGACTACTGGTCGCTGGGAGTGATCGCCTTCGAGCTGGTCACGTTGCGGCGCCCGTTCTCTACAGGGGAGGAAGACTCCATTGCAGAAATACTGAGCAATATACAAAAGTAAGAATTGTTGCACTTTTAGTTTTAGCATTATTTTTATTGTCTTCTTTGTTAGTATAATATAAGGTTGCATTTGGTTTAATGTGAACAACATTCTATGCTTAATTTGTACACACAGCTTTAATCACGTTTGTTTGTTGCGTCATTAATATTGATGATGTCTATTTTTTGTTACTTTGTGATTTTTGTAGATACGAGCGCGACTCAAGTCCCCAGTTACCGTGGGCCCCCCCGCCGTCGGGCCCGTCCCGCGAGTGGCGGGGCCTGGTGGCGGGGCTCCTGCGGGTACTGCCGTCCAAGCGATACTCCTACCTCGACACACTGCAACACGCTGCACTGGCACATATGCCTGCTCACAATATAAGAGATCAGGTACCGTTATACCCTTGCATTCGATTGATGTATTAAAGTGAAAATAGTTTTATGTATTCATCAATTATCATAAAACTACATTAAAGAATATGAAGCACCAAATTTTGAATGAAGAAATTAATTTAGTAACAAAGGAGCCAAAAAATTGGAGATAGATTATTTAAAATATAATTTGAATGTTTAACCTGTGTCTTAAATGAGTGGTACTGACGTCCGTCCCCCCGGCAGGCCCCGCCGTGGGTGCCGTGCGTGCGCGGCGCGGAGGACGCGTCGTACTTCAGTGCGCCGGCGCGCGCCCCGCCGCCGCCCAGCGCCGCGCCCTTCCGGACACGGCCGCCCTTCGCGGGACAACTACCTTTTGTCGGTTAGTACAGCATTTATCGTATTTGATTTCATGTTCAACTTTGTATTTTTTTGCCCGTGTGTTTCGTGACATTCCATAATCATCTTATGTCCGAAGTTCTTAAGTACCTCTTCAATGTGGTTTGATTTCAATATAATACAAGAAAGATACCTAATTCATCAAAATTACTAGGTCAAGCCATTTCATCTACAGTTTAAACTTACAACCAATGTTTATCGATCCAGTGTACAAATACGTTCATGTAACTGTCTGATGTTATGTGTGCATAGACAACATTGTCGGTGACTGAATCAGATTGTACAATAGTAGGTATTAGATTTTAGTACATTAGTACATGTTGATTACAGGATACTCGTTCGTGGCTCCCGAGGAGAACGAGGACCACAGTGGAGGGTTCAACGCCTCGCATGACTGCACAGCCATCGATCTCGCTACCTTTAAGTGAGTATTTGTTTGGTACTTTTGTGCGAAAGTCAGGCAAAGGTGGTAATATAATAATAATAAATACATTATAAACTCACTCTTCGTAAAAACCTATTTTTTCCTATATTTTCGTATGACTGCGTGATGTGATTTTATTTTATACCCGTTTACTTAATTGAAAGTATTTTTAAATATTATATTTGGCTTCTAGTGTGACTATACGTAGTATACGTTATTTACAAATTATATTTGCACTCTTTTCTAATGATGTATTTTATGGTTTAATCTATGGAGCCATGGATAGATAGATATCTTAATATCTTCAATAATATTTGACAACTGCAGTGTCTGTAATTACGATTGTAACATAGGTCGGCAGAGAAGCTCGCGGCGATGCGTAGTCGTGAGATCGCGTCGTTGCAGACAAAGCTGGCGGAGGCCGAGGCCCTGGCCGGGGCCACCGCCGAGCGGATCCGACACGAGGCCGAGGCCGAGGCAGAGAGACAACGCGTGCGGCTGCAGGCCGAGATCACTGCGCTTAGTTTGCAGAACAAGTTAGTACTAATACTACAACAAAATATCTTTCAGCTAACTGGACTTCATTATCATCATCATCAACAGCCTATAAGACTGACTAAAGGCCCCTTTCTCGCACGGAGAAGGTTTGAGCATTAATGACCACGTTTGCTCAATGTGGGCTAGCGATTTCAATTTTATAAGCCCATGTTTCCTCACGATGCTGTCCTTCACCATTTGTCAGTGATGTCTAGATAATCTTAGAAAGTACATATAACTCGGAAAAAGCACATTGGTACTTGCCGTTGGTAGGTAGCGAACCCACACTCTCACGCATGAGAAGCAGGCGTTTTAATCATATCATATCATAATAATAAATACTTTATTTCAGACCACTGTGTCCAAATTGTTAGTAATAATGTTCTTATAGACTAGTGTTAGCGATACTTAAAATTACTCTCAACATAACAAATAAAAATAATTTTTTTTTTTAAATAAACAACAATATTGCGCCATTCCGTGAGAAATGGCGGACCATCGAACCGACTTGCGATCATGCTGCGGGCTCTGCGGGCGCTGCCCCGCACGCTCCGCGCCAGCCATGCGCATCTCTTCCGCATCGTAGCGTAAACGCAGTCCACGCGATGTTCAGCAAACATCCTTGATGCACTACAGAATCCGTTAAAACGTCCGTGCAACTACGACATGGTGGAATTACAAGACTAATATTTTACCTAAGTTGGTAGTCGTTGTATGTGAAAAACTGAAAAAAGTTTAGTGACATGCTTTTAGAAGATTTGTTCAGCAGGGGATGGAAAGAGACTGTTGATGTATTAGTTGGCTACGTTTGTTTTCTGTGAAGTATCCCTTGCACAATTTAATTGGATATGTCGGTGACACAGACGCCTGGAGCGCCAGGTGGAGGTGGAGCGCGAGGAGCGCATGTCCCTGCAGCGCAGCAACCAACAGCTGTCAGCGGCCGCCACCGAGCGGGGGAACACGGAGCTGCGCGGGGCGCGCGCCGCCGCTGCAGCGCTGCAGGCCGAGCGCGACGTGCTGCACGAGCAGCTGCAGCGGCTGGAGGCGCGCGTGCAGCAGCTGCAGGCGGACTGCCAGCGCGCGGCCGCGGACGCCGACACCGCGAGAGCACAACAACAACACTACAAGGTTTGGACCTAACCTACTGCTTATTCATTTTTTATCGCCTCTCGTCGTCATATTTGAAGACATAGTTGATTATAATAGAAACAGAACAGTACAGTAAGTGCAGTTGCTAGGTTAATTTTTTTTTTATGATAACTACATTCACAAATCTACAATCCAATAAATTGAGAGATGTGGTCACTTTTAAAGTATCAAAATTTTTACTCATGATTATTATTGAGTTAAATATTATCTGCATGAAAATTTATGTATTCGAAGAAATACTGAGTTGTAAGATGTATGGCAGGAGATAGTTGCGCAGGCGCATGAACTGCGACACCGCAGGCTCACCGAACTCAACGTGCGCCCTCTAGTGAGTGACACTACACACTGACTGTACTGATACAAGTAGACTAGTAGTAGTAGTTGGAGAAAATTGATTTATTGTACTTATTTAATTTACATTACATCATATTGTCTTTAGTTTTCCTTGAAGAGTAGGTAGATAGCAGTAAGTAATATTTGATCGTATCACTTTTCGACTGTACATGTATCAACTTAAGGTTGTAACACTTGTATTGATTACATTACGAATGTGTTTTATGCGTACTCATCTGGATGACTACCTTGGTAGTGCCGGATTAACCAAATAAAAGTAGCAATTTCTAAGAGGCCTGCACTGAAGTAGCCTTGCATATCCGAAGCATTGTCCACTTTGAAGTATTTTTTAAATGAAAATAATCTTTAAGTATAAATATCGCAAAACAATAAAATTTGCTTAATCCGTTACGCCCCACATTCAGTAGTTATATTAATTTCAGTAAAATTCGCTAGCTAGTAGAAAGTTTTAAAAATAATTATGAAGTCGTATGTAATTCACGTATTTTTGTCAGGACTCGATAGCCAAAGAGCGAGCCATTCGTCGTCAGACATTGAGCGGTGGTGAGGCGGAGTCTCGCGAGGCGGCCGCGCGGATTGCCACCGCCGAGGCTAATGCTGCCAAGGAACTGCGCGCCAGGCAGGCCATGGAGGCCAAGCTGGAGAAAATGGAACATGAGAATAGACGACTTAGAGACGATCTCGACGAGGCCAACAGGAACCTGGCCGAGACACAGGTAAGGGAGAATTGTGTTACTTGGTGTAACGATAGACATAAGAAAAACGATAAGAAATATTTGGCGTAGCTTAGAGCACCTGTTCAATACAGGAGGGATTGTTTAGTAGCAGTAGTATTATAGAGGCTGATATGATATTGTTGTATCGTAGGAACGGCTGTGTGAGAAGCAACGTATGGCCAGTACATCCTCGGAGCAAATGCAGGAGCTTCAAGTGCAGCTCGCACAGGAACGAGTGAGGGCTTCTACGCTACTCGCACAAGTACAGGTAAACATTCAGTTTTGCTTATAACAATATTGTCAACAAACGAAAATTTACTGTCGATGATAAAGTAGGGGCAAGCGACCATAATATGACTAAAATGTAACTGCAACGTGGTGAAGAAATATAATATTAAGAGTATACTTTTTGTAGGAGTTGGAGCGTGGCGTGGAGGAGTCAGTCCGGCGCGAGTCGGCGCTGGAGGAGCAGTGCGCGCGGACGGAGGCGCGCCTCACTGAGCGCCTGCGGGACGCAGACACGCGCGCCGCCGCCGCGCTGCGGGACGACGCCAGGCATCGGGAGAAGGTACGCCGCACTACTGCACTGTACACGCTCCTTGACACTCCATTGGTACCACTTCCGGAAAGTCTTTGCAAATAGTGATTTGTAATATAACTCGCAATGCGACACTCCTAGACCAGCACTATGTTGCGGGTCGCGGAACTTTTTACTGTGAACCTTTTTGGAAGAACTACTTAACATACTTAACATCTAAACAATACAACAGGTGAACACCCTAGAACAGTTAGTGAGACAGCTAGAGAGGGAAGTGAGTGCGTTAGAGAAGCGATCCTGTACAGCATGCGCGGCCGCCGCGTCCAGCTCCGCGCAGCCCGAGAGCGAGCGCGGGCATCACGCACCCGGCCACAGGGGGGACGCCAGGAGGGACGCGCACAGTGACACTGAGAGCGTCGGAGATGCTCAGGCGCAAGCACAGCTTTCCTTGCTCAAGGAACAGCTCGAAAAGGCCGAAGCTCAATTACAGGTGACATATTAAGTTATTATATTGTAAATTAAAAATGTATGGTTCATGTGTTAGGATTGTAACCAGAACTTTCGTTTACAGGCGCGTGCTGAAGAAATAGCGACTCTACGTCAAGAGGCGAGAGCTGCTAATCTAGCGAGATGGAGAAAGGTACAATACAATGGTTGTTTTGTAACTAACGCTATCCGAACTCATGTCGTATTTGCGTAGGCGTAGTAAATAAACTAATTTTTCTATTTATAATGTAAAGTAACAATCATAAAAGCCAATGTATACAACTATCATTAAAACTATTCCTACTGCCTACCCACCAGGAGCGCGAGTACAATGAATTATCAGTAGAAACAAAGTCGACGGCGCGCGACCTAAAGCGCGCTGAGGAACGGTTGACTAACGCCATCGAGGCACGTAAGACCGCGGAGCAGAAAGCCGGCGAGCTCGCCACTGAGCTCGCCAAGCTGAGGCCGGAACATGAGCTCGCCACGAAGGACGCGGAGCGACTCAAGATGCAACTGGACAAGCTTACGAAGGCACATGAAGTGGTACAGGCTGAAGTTGACAGGTATGTTACATACATGTTCAATGTTGTTATTTATTTTCTCTTGGAAATCGAATCCTTGACTCCGCGACGGTCAAGCTATCTAGTGTAGCGAATTAGACTGGCAGTATATCAAATATTAAATTGTATAGCATATTCATTCATAATTTTTCTAATACAATAAGATATCAAACAATATACCTAATTCAGTCAATTCTCTCCTTAACAATATGACGATCACATACAAACTCGACATCTCGCATTAATAGCCTTCAGCCTGTAAAGTGCAGCAGTTGCATTATTCGTATATTTTGAATATATTTCAGTTCAATAATAGCCTTTATACTAATCTCGCGTCATCTACTCGCGAAAGTGTCGCATATTGTGTCATAAGTTTTCATTGAAAGATTTGTGATAACATTTCGATAACTGCGAGATGACATACATTTAACCCAGTTACTGGACTACTATCGTAAGAATGCGTGTAACCGTGATTATTTTTAAAACAAATATATGTCAAGTTTAATATGAATATATGTATCGAGATAAACTCAAGTGTGTTTGAAGTGCCTGAAGTTGAAGTTAATCTTTGGGAAGTCGCAATGGCGCCGGTGAAGCGATGCCAACTGTGTGTATCAAACAACTTTTTATATAAATATGTTTAGATTTGCAACGTCTTTGTGGTTTAAAATAAAGAGATGTCGATTTATTCAATATATAGCTTTAGTATTGTTTATGTTGTACTGGGAATGTACTAATCGGTGCGTGGCGACTTAATGTCTCACTTGGCTACTTTGTACTACCTACACTGTATTACTTATGTACACTTTGCGTTGTAGTGTCGAGTGTCGCGGCTTTAGTACCCGAGTGGCTTCCATGTAATACGACGCAAATAAATGCGTCGTACTTGAACATTTTTGTTACATTAATTTAGTTATCATGGGCGTTCGTATCACAATTGAATCATGCGTGTGTCACAATAATGTTGTGCACTAAAAAGTAAATACTTGTTTATAAGTGTTGAGTTATTTGTTGTTGTGTTCGCGAGTTGAAGGTATGTGGTCCCCGTAGGTCCCGCAACGACATCCGCAAGTTGAAGAGTGAGCTGCAGTACAGCGAGCGGCGCAGACTGCACGCCGAGGAGCAGGAGGAACTGTCCGCGCGCGAGCGGGCCCAGCTCAGGGACGAGCTGCAGGGGCTGCGGGGACACAACGAGGAGCTCGCACAGGTTCCTATATTACTGCATAACATTACAATTTTTTTATTCCCTAAAGGTGTCGACTGCGGTACTGTTATACGTGCCGCCACTGTTAGTAGTTGATATTATAGGACTTATGTTATAAGTTATACATCTTACAGTAACCTACAATGCTTGTGTCGTACGACTGGTCATGTTTATAGATGTAATAATGGTAATAAGTGTTTATACATGTAGTTGCAGGAGGGACCGTCCATTGAGTAAATTTCTTTAACGTCTCAATAATGGCTATCGCATACGTTTCGATTCTATAGGTAATATGTGAATGAAAGACATGTTTACTGTTTATATTTTATTGTTTTCCATTTGTATGAGAATATTTGAGGCAGTCAGACAAGTTACAGTACAGTTACTTAAAATTTAGACGTTAATATAACAATAGTTGCGGCGATTGTTCGGCGCTTGCTTAGGAACAATAGTTGATCAATATTTGGCCATTGACGGCTCTCAAAGGTTTTGTTTAATATTTCACAATCGGGTGTCCCAAACGTAGCGGTTGTTGTTTGTGTGAATGCCACAGCCGAGCCCATCGTGTAAACATCATTGTTTCGCCGCCCGATGATCTGTGCGCGAGTCATAGTCTCCACATTCGTCCTCACGGTTACAAGGCCAGCATATTTCTCACTATCGATTAATTTCCTACCACATATTACTAACCTTCCGTGGTGTACTTTGTGCTTGTGGTTCAATTTTGTGCCGTGCTTCTGTGTACATTGGAATAGAGTGCGGTGCTCCTTGAACTGTGGAAGTTACGTGGCATCCAGTGTCAGTGCCGGGGTTACAGTGCGCGAGGGAGTGTAAGGGCGATGGAGTCGCTCCCGCCGCGGTACAAGCGCAAGAGTATAGAGAAGCCGCCCGTGCGGCCCAAGCCCGCGTACCTGCGGACACTGTTCGGGGGCGCGGGCGGGGGCGCGGCGCGGCGGGGGCGCGAGGGCGGCTGGGCGCGCCGCGTGCGCCTGGCGCTGGCCGCCGACCTGCTGCAGGGCCGCTGCCGCGCCGCCGACACCGCCATCACCGCCATCAACAGGCACTTCGTCACGGTACCCAACCGTGCCCCTACTCACCTTCATAGCGCATCCCCATACTGAACCTTGTCTGTCGCCTGTCGCATTATCCAATTTCTTAACATGGCTCCTGCGTTATCTTATTACTTAATAACATTTTGTATTCTGTGTTGCCTATCAGATAAAGTAGATAGAGTGCGCTTTTAATCCATTTCCCATTAATAGTGCCCTCTGCCGACTTTTGTGTGTTTTCTTTTCTTTCGTAAGTTTTCTGACTTGATTTCAATAAGACCATTGTTTTATTAACCCTTGTCATTACATCATCCTTTCATTCACACATTCTATATTTCTCTAAGTCCTGCAATATGGCAAGCTGAGAGCTGTATAAAAATCTAGTAAAGAAGACAGACAGTTTAAGATATGGCTTCATGTTCTGGCGCCTGTAAATTTCCCTTATTTTAAAGATGTACCTACTTTAATTATGACGATAAACAACAGTCGTCGAATATGAAATGCATACCTGTTACTTTACTTTACTTAAACTATGCGAGGGATCTATGGTGTTTAATTAAAATTTATTTTTGTATTCTTGGTTTTTTTTTAAGTAAATAAGAATGTTTATACCTGCTTGTCGTTTCGTCCACAATATGCCTATACATAATTGACATTCTTTTGTACCTTTAGGTACCACGGCTTTCTCATAATCTCTTTGATGTAGATTGTAGACGAGCGTTCAGTGTGTTCAATGTACAGTTCAGCGTTCTGTCTGTTTCTAAAATATTCATGATAAGATTACGTAGTAAGGGCGAGGCCACACAAAACTTCTATGGCGTTGCACAACGTATCGTATTTGTGATTGTTGCTGCATCAAAATAGATATTTTGGTCAGGACTTAGCACATTTTCCTGTGTCGTTGGTACATTTATAGGATCAATCGTACTAAACTGATGGTTAGCATCTTTAGTATGATATGTTGACATATTTTGTTGTTGTGCGACGTCGTTTTTGCAGTGCGTTGCTGCAACGCAATGTTGTGTTCTCCCCTTTAAGATGTAGGAAGGTTATCGAGAACCATAACATGGGCTCCATGGTTACTATCTGCGTCGCGTCGGAAGAGGTTTTATACTTTTGAAAACATTATATTAAAGATATGCACATTACGATATAAAGACATGTTCTTCCGTCTGTACGCTGTGTTACCGTATATATTTAATTTGACAGAACAACAAAGCGCTGCAGGAGGCGTGTGGCATGCTAGAAGAACAATTAACGGATCTAGAGAAGTTAGCTGACATACACGAAATCAAAAACAAAGATCTCGAGGTAAGTCGTGCATAGCGTCATACATTCACGTCGCGTCGTGTTAAAGAAAATCTGCTAAGCCGGAGGATTATGGGTTATGTGTGTTCTCCATGGGCAAGTCGTCATTCCAGACGCAGTTGTCGGGCGTGCGGTCGGAGCTGGAGTCGTGCCGCGCGCGGCTGGGCGCGGCGGAGGCGGCGGCCAGCGAGCGCGGCGCCGCGGCCGACCGCGCCGCCTCGCTGCACTCCGAGGCGCGCGACCAGGCGCGCACCGCGCACTCCGAGCTGCAGCTGCTCCGGGTATACACAGCGCGCTGCCCATTCACTTCCCACATTCTTTCAATTTCCACACAATTCAAAATACCGAAAATTGATACGTACGATCAACAATAAATATGTATATATTTACTCAAGAAAAACTGTATACAAACATGAAACCTACCGAGGGTTTTTACGTCATCCGAGCCATTGTATCGGGTTGTTATTGTTGACAATAATAATGTCGTCATACAACACGTCATCGGTTACATGAGCACACATTGTTACATCCGCAGTCGATGGCTAGACGCACCCGCATGAACATGGTCGTGGACATATCGCTCTACTCTAAATGGATGTCCGTGCGGAGGATGTTGTTCAAGCACTTGACCAGAGACCTGCAGTTTGGAATAGTAAAATCAAGAATTGGTTTCATAAGCGACTAATCTCAGGAAGTGACGCCGCGGATCATATGGAGATTCAAAGTTTTCAGTGTAACTTTGCGTCTAATCATAGAAGTGTACATAACGCATCGGTCTCACTAATTTATCGTGTTCTTAGAAGATATGAAATGAAACGAGTTTAATTTGAGTGCGAAGGTAGAGTGAGTAAGCCGTGTGTATGTGTACAGGAGCGGTTGGAGGCACGCGAGACGCGCGTGGCGGAGCTGGAGGCGCGCGCCGCCGCGCTGGAGTCTGGCCGCGCCGCCAGCGACGCCGCGCTGGCCGCCGCCGCGCGCCGCGTGCGGGACCTGCAGGAGGAGTGCGCCGCACTGCGCACGCGCGCGCACCACCACCACGCGCACGCGCTGCAACTACAGGCCACGCTACACGACGTGCAGGTACATACACACACACACACACACCACGCGCACGCGCTGCAACTACAGGCCACGCTACACGACGTGCAGGTACACACACACACACACACACACACCACGCGCACGCGCTGCAACTACAGGCCACGCTACACGACGTGCAGGTACACACACACACACACACACACACCACGCGCACGCGCTGCAACTACAGGCCACGCTACACGACGTGCAGGTACACACACACACACACACACACACACCACGCGCACGCGCTGCAACTACAGGCCACGCTACACGACGTGCAGGTACACACACACACACACACACACACCACGCGCACGCGCTGCAACTACAGGCCACGCTACACGACGTGCAGGTACACACACACACACACACACACACCACGCGCACGCGCTGCAACTACAGGCCACGCTACACGACGTGCAGGTACACACACACACACACACACCACGCGCACGCGCTGCAACTACAGGCCACGCTACACGACGTGCAGGTACACACACACACACACACACACACCCACGCGCACGCGCTGCAACTACAGGCCACGCTACACGACGTGCAGGTACACACACACACACACACACACCACGCGCACGCGCTGCAACTACAGGCCACGCTACACGACGTGCAGATACACACACACACACACACACACACCACGCGCACGCGCTGCAACTACAGGCCACGCTACACGACGTGCAGGTACACACACACACACACACACACACACACACACACACCACGCGCACGCGCTGCAACTACAGGCCACGCTACACGACGTGCAGGTACACACACACACACACACACACACACCACGCGCACGCGCTGCAACTACAGGCCACGCTACACGACGTGCAGGTACACACACACACACACACACACACCACGCGCACGCGCTGCAACTACAGGCCACGCTACACGACGTGCAGGTACACACACACACACACACACACACACACACACCACGCGCACGCGCTGCAACTACAGGCCACGCTACACGACGTGCAGGTACACACACACACACACACACACACCACGCGCACGCGCTGCAACTACAGGCCACGCTACACGACGTGCAGGTACACACACACACACACACACACACACCACGCGCACGCGCTGCAACTACAGGCCACGCTACACGACGTGCAGGTACACACACACACACACACCACGCGCACGCGCTGCAACTACAGGCCACGCTACACGACGTGCAGGTACACACACACACCACACACACACACACCACGCGCACGCGCTGCAACTACAGGCCACGCTACACGACGTGCAGGTACACACACACACACACACACACACACACCACGCGCACGCGCTGCAACTACAGGCCACGCTACACGACGTGCAGGTACACACACACACACACACACACACACCACCACCGCACGCGCTGCAACTACAGGCCACGCTACACGACGTGCAGGTACACACACACACACACACACACACACACACACACCACGCGCACGCGCTGCAACTACAGGCCACGCTACACGACGTGCAGGTACACACACACACACACACATGTAAGGTGGTGCATCGGGGAGATTAGAGAAACAACTTTATTGTTTGAAGTTACATTTAATACTACTCTAAATATTGGATACAATCCGATATATATGAATTACACACTTAGATCTAGCAATGGACATGTATACATACATACACACTACACACACACACCACGCGCACGCGCTGCAACTACAGGCCACGCTACACGACGTGCAGGTACACACACACACACACACCACACCACGCGCACGCGCTGCAACTACAGGCCACGCTACACGACGTGCAGGTACACACACACACACACACACACACCACGCGCACGCGCTGCAACTACAGGCCACGCTACACGACGTGCAGGTACACACACACACACACACCACGCGCACGCGCTGCAACTACAGGCCACGCTACACGACGTGCAGGTACACCACACACACACACATGTAAGGTGGTGCATCGGGAGATTAGAGAAACAACTTTATTGTTTGAAGTTACATTTAATACTACTCTAAATATTGGATACAATCCGATATATATGAATTACACACTTAGATCTAGCAATGGACATGTATACATACATACACACTACACACACACACCACGCGCACGCGCTGCAACTACAGGCCACGCTACACGACGTGCAGGTACACACACACACACACACACACACCACGCGCTGCAACTACAGGCCACGCTACACGACGTGCAGGTACACACACACACACACACACACCACGCGCACGCGCTGCACACAGGCCACGCTACACGACGTGCAGGTACACACCACACACACACACCACGCGCACGCGCTGCAACTACAGGCCACGCTACACGACGTGCAGGTACACACACACACACACACATGTAAGGTGGTGCATCGGGGAGATTAGAGAAACAACTTTATTGTTTGAAGTTACATTTAATACTCCTAAATATTGGATACAATCCGATATATATGAATTACACACTTAGATCTAGCAATGGACATGTATACATACATACACACTACACGCCCACCGTTTTTTTTTTTTTTTTTTTTTAATGAAATTACCTTTTATATGGCCTTGTTCTATTCTTATGAACTAACAATTGTTTTCCTTTATAATCTATTTTTAAATTTGGTTCACAATCTTCTAACACTTTAAAAGGACCTACATAAAGCTGATCAAATTTGCTCATACGCTGCTCGTTTTTTAGTAATATCATATCGCCAGTTTTATAATTTATAGGGTTCGTATTGCAGTCATACTTAATTTTTCTAATTTCTTTTTTTGTAACTAAATTTTGTCTTGCGTCGTGTTGTGATTTTTGTAGTCTGTACTTCAATTCTTTAGGGTAATCATAATGATTATATAATGGTTCTAGATTTGATGTTAAATTGCTCGGTAATTTACAAAGTCTGCCAAAAACTAACTCATATGGAGTATACTTAGTTTCGGAGTGCACTGTAGTGTTAAAGGCAAAACACCAGTATGGTAACCACGTGCTCCAATTATAAGGGTCATTATCTGTTTGAATACGAAGGAAAGACATTAAATGTTTATGTGTGTTTTCTAAACTTCCTATTGACTGATGATGGTAAGATGTTGATGTCAACTGTGAAATTTGAAGCAGATTACACACTTCCCTCATTACTGTTGACACGAACTCTGTGCCTCTATCTGATATAACTTGCTTAGGCATTCCGTAACGCAAGATAAAATTATTTACAAACGCTCTTGCTACTGAAATAGTATCCTTATTTCTAAGCGGATACGCTTCAACATACTTACTAAGGTCACACTGAAGTGTGAGAATATACATATAACTATCGCTATCCTTACATAAGGGCCCTACTAAATCTAAATAAATTCTGTCGAAAGTGCAACGTCCTGTATCCGTTATCACCATCGGCTGCTTAATGTACTTATTAAAATGTTTTTGACGTAAACACTTGTCACAACGACTTACAAATTCGGTTACGTCTTTCTCTAGTCCTGGCCAAAAGTAACGTTTTTTAATATTATTTATCATTCGCCTGATACCGGCGTGGCCACTCGTCGGTAACATATGATAGTCATTTAGTATAACACGCTTTGTATCGTGATCGCTTATTCGTTGGACCCCCTTTAAAATATATAATTGTGGTCCGGACCACGCTGGGGTGTCTCTTATAAACCGAGTTAACTCGTCTACTAGTTTCTCATTACTAGCATTTTTAATAAGATAAATTTTATGTATTCCTATCCGTTTGCATAAGTTACACAACTCCCTCACAAAGGCATCTCGTGCGCAATATGATCGGAAAGAAGGGTTTACGTAAACAGCGGACTTAGATGAAGAATAAGCGAATTTTGCTGACATTTCCATTGACATATTGTCGATTTTATTCCATTCTCTTTCATCTACAAATATTAATTCTGTACAATCCTCTGGTTTTTTAAGAATATCCACAACTCTTGGATGATCAGTCCAATTGTCGGTGTCTACCTTATCAACCATAGGATTATCAGACACATTTTGTATATTTTCGTTCAGTCGTTTTTTCTGAGCCCTAGTTAATACTGACATAACATGTTCATTCATCCCTTTTAAGTCCTCACTCGATATTCGAATACGCGACAATGCATCTGCAGCTGCATTGTCTCTTCCTCGAACATATTCAACCTCATAATCGTACTCTTCCAATAATAATCGAAATTTCGTGAGACGACTTGATGGGTTTGTCATGTTGAATAAATAAATTAGTGGTTTGTGGTCAGTTTTGATTATAAACTTTCGT